CTCTAATAGGCTCGTTCCACCGTGAGTCGGTCAGCGCTTATTACCCAGAGCAGTTGGAGAGTCATCTCCGTTTCGTTGCCATCCCTGCAGCCTGATTATTGAAATTTTTTGTTTGTCGGATCGACATAGATGACATAGGTTAAAAGGCGGAGCGTGATTGGTCGGCTGTGTCTTAACGCTGCTTTATCGTGCCTTTGTCAGGTGGAATGATCGACAAGCTAACGGCACCTCTTAAGTTTCCGACAGTATGTCGATCATTCCACCTGACAAAGGCACGATAAAGCAGCGTTAAGACATAACCAACCAATCACGNACCGCGAGCGGGCTCGTGTTTTCCCCTGAAGTCCCACTTTTCAGCGCCACCCGGGAAATTTGCGGCGGAGGCGACAGCGCTCGCGTTTCTGCGTCCCTTACGGTCACACCTCCGTACTCCCGCGCCGCGTTAAAGTATAATGCCAATTAACGGGTGCGGAAATTTGCAAGGGAGTAGAATTGAGCGACTCGGCTCGTATGCACCGAGGACCGGGAGGATGGTGCACCGTCTTAATTAGACGCGGTAATTGGTTCCCGCAACGCACATCACTCATGCGGGTGTCGAAACACACATGCTGCGGCTCATGGTGGGAGAGGAACCAAGAGTGGTGACCGCCTCTGTCAATAAAACTCTTCAATGCGCCAGGCATTTTGAGATTTTAGTACTTGGCCATGAGTAAAGTAACGAAAAAAACACAATTTTTTTTTATTTTTTTATTTTTTTCTTTTTTTGCCATTGATGGTAAATACGGTTAATAGGGTTGTAATAGGGTTATTGTAAATAGGACTTGTTAAATCCTATTTATTGTTATTAATAAAATCATAAGTTAATTTTTTTTTATCCAAGAGTCGTCACCCAGGAGACGCCAAAAAGAGATAATAAAAAAATGTTAAATCCCATTCGTTGTTATTAATAAAATCATATGTTCATTTTTATTATCTCTTTTTGGCGTCTCCTGGGTGACGACTCTTGGATAAAAAAATTAACATATGATTTTATTGATAACAACGAATAGGATGTAACAGGACTTTTGTTCTAAATGATGCTATTTTCATAATAGCTTTTATTTCTTTTGATACTATTTCCTTTCCTGTTGTTTTTACAATCATAACTACGTGTTTTATAAATGTTACTTTTTTCAGTGAGTTAACATTTTTTTGTAAAACACATATACTTCAGGTGGTTTTAAAATTTCAAACGAAACACCCGGTGCCATTGGTTTTCTCTGAAACGAATTTTCAAGCAACAGAATATGAGAAAACTGGACAAGGCCAGCGTGGAGGCTTCTTCAATGTTAATCGCCCGTCGCGTTAGTAAGGCGCACTCATACAACTATTCGTGCTCTCCGGAATGCGGGAGGTATCACACCGCAATTGAAGGCGTTTTCGATTCTGCCATGTTTTTTTATCGGGACAGTCGTAATGAGGGGGATCCCGGGATCCTCTGTGCTACGCTGAGAGTTCACCTCTATGTCCAGTTAAACTATTCATGCAGAGTATGATTCAATTTAAGTTTAAGCCTACCTAACCATGATGTCGAAGTCTACAGGAGAAAAAAAGTTGAGGTTGTGTCACTAGACACAACACGCGGAGAAACGAAGCATAGAGAAAGAAACATATCCGTAGAATACAATCCAGACCGCGCATTGGGATTCGCTGGTTTTTTGGAGATTTTTTCCTTAGCTTATGTCATTTTGTGATATCTGTAGTATTATAGACTAGTGAGAAGCTATCATTTTCCTTCAATTTCGTTTGATACCACACCACATACCTACTCTGGAGTTCGAATAGTTGCTCGCTTGGTTTTCGATCCTCAAATAGTGAGAAATTACGCACTATTCATCTCAGAATAGCGGAATATGCGCTATTGTTCCATCGTGTTCGTTAAATCCTAAACGGTCACGCACTTTCCATTTCAAAATCACCGAAAATGCGCGATTTTTCCTGGGACTTCGGATAAAAACTGAGAAATGACGCGATAATCTCCGCAAGATCGCGGCGAATACGCGATTTCTCCAGCGGTTTTGTAAAAATTAACCGAGATATTACGCTTTGAAAAATTCGGTTCATGACGTCATCCATCGCGGTAGTAACACCCTTGGTTTCTTCCACCTTTCTTTCACCAGTCAGGGAAACACACATTCGCACTGGTTACTCAACGTGCAACTCGGATGAAAGCAAGGTGGAGGAGACCACACAATCCTGGTGGATGACGTCATAAACCGAATTTTTCAAAGCGCGATATCTCGGTTAGTATTGAACGTAAAAAGTTGCTATTTGGGCAGGTCTTATTATTTTCAGCTAATCTACAAGAATCTAGTATCAAAACACGATTCTGTGACCAGCGAAACTGACCCATCAGCAAAAAATAATAATTATATTTGCATTTATTCAATATAAAATGCGACTGCCAGGATAGTCTAGAAAAATTAAAAATTGGGTCGGTAATGTCTTAAAGCTTACAGAACTGTTTCACGAGAAATTTGGGAACATGAACGCCAAAAAAATTCAAATCAAACAGAAGTAGATTTACGGTTTGAAATGCACAGTCAAAAAACCTATTTCCTCGAAGACGCTACTTTATATATCGATGGTTCCAGTTGCTGTTATTACGGATCTCATTATTTTTATCTGATCGACAAGTACGAAGCATCAAAACACGATTCTGAGAGCGGCGCAACTGACCCACTCATGCTTAAATCGCAGATCCCTGACACGTGCAAGAGATCCATTGTTGGACCAAATTCAACAGACAGCAACCGAATGCATTTGAATGTTGCAACTCCTCCTGTTTTGGAGAGAGGCCTGAAAGTATACACATGAAAAGAGGGGTAGAGACTGCTACCGCGGGGTGCGGGGCGGTGGGGGGGGGGGGGGCCGGGGGNGGGGGGGAGGAGTTGAGAACTGAGAAATGAGTAATGAGACGTGAGCGATGATCGTTCGAGTGGTGATGCCGCGAAATATTCAAGTATTCACGGCACTTGCCCGCCGAGCGGCGAATTAACCCGCCCAACGAGTTACATTGACTAATGAAGTTGGGCTGCCGCAGCTTCCAAGGGCCCCTCGTCCCCGCGGAAAAGTGGTCGGCCGGGCCGGCGGGGGGCGCGGCGGCGGGGGACTCGCGGAAAGCACGGCGGTCATCATTGCCCCTTATTCGGGCTGTCTCCCGAAAGAATGGTCGGGTAATTAAGCTGCCTTGCTATGACATTGTGCGCTGTATCGTTTTCAGCGGGTGTAATTAGAGCCCCAGATACTCACCACCCCCCCCCCCCCCCCCCCCCCCCCNGTCAGACTGCCCGCCGATGCCAAATGGACCGGATTTCACAGAAACGCATCGAGTCGTGTTTTGGGGGGGAAAGAGTTGGGGATAGTTTCGAAGTCGATTATTCGGAAACTGTTTCTCCTCGAAAATTCTGAGTTGAAAAAGAAATATTTTAAACAAATAGATCAGACTGCCCACCGAATTCTCCTCGAAAATTCTGAGTTGAAAAAGAAATATTTTAAACAAATAGATCAGACTGCCCACCGATGCTTAATGGACCGGATTTCACAGGAACGCATCAAGTCCCATTTTGGGGGGAAAGAGTTGGGGATAGTTTCAAAGTCAATTATTCGTAAACTGTTTCTCCTCGAAAATCCTGAGTTGAAAAAGAAATATTTTAAACAAATAGATCAGACTGCCCACCGATGCTTAATGGATCGGATTACACAGAAACGCATCAAGTCATATTTTGGGGGGAAAGAGTTGGGGATAGTTTCGAAGTCCATTATTCGTAAACTGTTTCTCCTCGAAAATTCTGAGTTGAAAAAGAAATATTTGAAAAAAATAGATCAGACTGCCCACCGATGCTTAATGGGCCGAATTTCACAGAAACGCATCAAGTCATATTTTGGGGAGAAAGAGTTGGGGATAGTTTCGGAGTCAATTATTCGTAAACTGTTTCTCCTCGAAAATTCTGAGTTGAAAAAGAAATATTTGAAACAAATAGATCAGACTGCCCACCGATGCTTAATGGGCCGAATTTCACAGAAACGCATCAAGTCATATTTTGGGGAAACAGAGTTGAAAATAGTTTCAAAGTCGATTATTCGTTAACTGTTTCTTCTCGAAAATTCCGAATTAAAAATGAAAATATTTTAAACATATAAATATTCATGAAAATTGGTTCTTAAATTCGAGTCTGATCGATGGCTAGAGTGCGAAACCACGTTGCAGTGTTTTAAAATTGCCGCTCCCATTTTACTTTTTCGAAGAGAAACAAGTTAATTTTATTGCTTGTTTACGAGTACGGAATGTTTGCCGACGGAGAATAAAAATCAAGATACTTTTCAAGAAATTATACGTTGACTGAGTCTTCAAAGAAAAAATAAAGTAGGTACGGCAGGAAGTCTGCCACCTCGTAAAGCTTCAAACCTCTTTCCTCGATTCGAACTTAACGTGACTTAGTGCGTTCCTGCTAAATTCGGTTTAAATAGACAACAATTCCTGAGTCGAAGTACGTCACTTTAGAGCCGTCCTTAAATTACGTCGCACGCTCTGATGGGAGAAAGGTGGGGGTGGGGGGTGTCTGAAACAGTGTGATGTCGCGCCAAAATCTGAGTGAAACATCGTTCCTCTCCTTCTTTCAACATACGAGACGCCTCAGTTTTGGTAATTTATATTAACAAAAACATGGCTGAAATTCTGCCATGCTAAGGAAAAATGCCGGACGAACATTCGAGAATTGCCAAATTTCCCCGGATAAAACATGTATTTCTGAGGAAAGTTGTTCGTATTTATCCTTGCAATTTTCTATTTTTTTAGAATAATTTGCAAACAAAATTATCTGAAGAATTTAAAGAAGGAAATTAAAAATCCCGGTAAATTCGTTTTTTATCGAAGGAGATCTGACAACGTCTAAAGGCTCATACGGTGTTCTTCCTTAGCACGGTAGAATTGAGAGGTGCAAAAGCTATAAGTTACAGACCTGATCTCCTGTGGGGTCGCCATCATGAGCAGCCGATGTATTCCCAGCTTCACCAGACTCATTTTTGGTTACAGGTCCGTCACTTTCGAGCGTGGATTCATCTTGAGGAACGTCGTACACAAACATGGAGTCCCCCCAATTTTCGGAGCACTGCACCTCAACGTGCTTCTTTTCGCCAGGTTCCTCTGCGTTTTCTGCTTGAGGCTTTTCAATTGCCTTCTGAGTGTGACTTGCAATAAAATCACTGAACATTACCAGGGATATTTTTATCATGTCATCAGTTGAAAAATGCTGGACGGAAATATCTCTCTCATGGGTGTGTTTCTTCATTTTGTTTGAATTTCCAAAATTTTTTTGCTTTTTAATTTTACCGCTTGGACTGGGTGAACGACTTCCATTACTTGGAAGTGTTGCTGGGACATCAACATTCATTTCGACAGTTGGATCGCCTGTCTTAATATTGACAGGGTCTTCTGTCTTATTGTTGACAGGGTCTTCTGTATTAATGTTGACAGGGTCTTCTGTCTTAATATTGACAGGGTCTTCTTGACTAGCCATTGAAAAAGTTGCGTTACTTTCAATAAGATATTTTGTTTTGGAGTACAGCAGATAACTTGCACACGATGTTCTATCCTTGATATTACACCTTTTAAAGTGTTTATATATCCTGTTGAAGGAGCCCAAAGATTTGACCAACATAGATTGTCTGCAAAAAGCAAATAATGTTGAAATTAGCAAATTGACACTAATGAATGGAGGATGCAGCAGAAAACTATGGTATAAACACTGCTGAATTTCAATTCGATCTTTTCAGGGAAGATAATAGATCACTATGATAAAAAAAGATAACTGTGAAATTTCACATGTCAGAAATTAAAAGCAAAGAGTTACGAACTTTCAAAGTTCGGTGAAATAGAGTATTTTCTCATTGGTAGCACATCCTTCTCCTCCATAACCTCCCTCGTAGGCTTGGAAGGGCTAGGCTTGCCTCTCGGTGGAGTTTATGTTTCTCACCAGCAAGACAAAACCATACTAACAACAATTTTTGAAATAATTATTCCAAGATTCAAGATTCAAAAAGGCAATGTATCGACAACGAGGTTATGCGCAGCAGCCTTGCCGCAAAAAAGGATAATAACCCTCTCTCCCTTTGCATTAACGCGAATTGTCCGGTAAGAATCTTAAGATCTCGATACACGATCAAATTCAGAACCGATTCCGATCAAAGAAAACCATTTGATGACTGTTGGTCACCATTCACTAGTCTTCTTAGATCAAAATTTGACGGCCCGTCCGATTTTGTTCGAAATAGAGTGCCACAGTTCATCATTTCTTACCGCGCAGAACATTACTGCCAAGTTTTCATTTGAAAATAAGGGATAGTCACCATTTTAGGACTGATGACTATCGACATACAAGTCGAGTCGAGTCGAGTCAATTGGAGAGGTCGGACAAAATTTGGAAACTTTAAAAGCTTATAACTCCGTATACACACAATTTTGATGTTCTAAAATTGGTTTCATTGGTTTCCTCGTAAAAGCTCCTTCTAAAAGTACCCCTTGGAATTTAAAATACGACGAAATTAACATAAACAAGTTGGATTTTGCAATCGCTAGCGATAGCAATATTCGTCATGGGAACGTTAGCTTCTGGGATATGAAAATGTTAAGGTACAGTTCGTTTGTAGTATCTTCTGAATTGAAGGGGCTATGTAATTTTGTGTTGACATCTCTTTTTTAACATTTTTAATTATTTTCTTTGCATACAAGAAAGCTGTTATGTACCAATTATTTATTTTCGTTGGATTATTTATGGTTTTCGGAAGTTACCGCATTTAAGTTTCAGGTTCGCTTATTCGGCGTAAAGTATACAAAAGGTGTCACAAAAGCACCGGGACTTGTTCTGTAACTTCGAAAGTAAGATGGATACAGACATGATCTTGATCTCATTTTAAAGATCAACTCAATACCTATCGATTAAAACCAAGATCAGCTCAATCGGATAAAAATTGGAAAAAGTTATGGCCCATTTGAAATCAGCGAGGAAAGTTTACGCCTACGGTTTTTAAGGAAGATTCTTCATCGCCGTAAATCGAAAATTCGGCCTATAAAGTGATGCTTATTGTTTTTTTTTCATTTTCGAGGTGTCATTTATCAACATTTTGTACCACCAAACACAACAGTTGACAGTGCGTATTATTGCAAAGTGCTAAAGGAGTTGAGAATGCACATTTCCCGGAAACGGTCGGACTTGAAAGCTTCGTGGATACTCCATCAAGACAAGCGCGGCCTCACACATCGAGCTTAACACGTGAATTTATGAGTAAAAATGGAGTTGAAACAATCCCTCATCCCCCTTACAGCCCTGACTTGGCTCCATGTGATTTTTGGATGTTTCCTACACTTAAAAGGGAGCTTCGTGGACGAAGATTCGAATCGAAGACCGAAATCCAGAATGCAATTCAAAACTTTTTCAACGCCATCCCAGAGGAAGAATTCAGGAAAACAATGTTGGATAAGTGGCAAGAGCGCATGAAAAAGTGCATCCGGTTTGATGGACGGTACTTTGAAAAGCAAAAGGAAGTTATGGAAGATTCGGAGGAAAGTGGATACGAATATTAACTTTTTGAATCCTGGTAAGCGAAAAATCTTCCTAAAAACCGTAGGGGTAAACTTTCCTCACTAATTTCAAATTGTCATAACTCGGTCAATTTTTATCCGATTGAGCTGATCTTGGTTTTAATCGATAGGTATTGAGTTAATCTTTAAAATGAGACCAAAATCATGTCTGTATCTATCTTACTTTTGAAGTTACAGAACCAGTCCCGGTACTTTTGGGACACCCTACGTATGATATTTTTACTCTACACATATGCCTGAATACGCATCATAAGGGACCTATGTGCTTCCTAAGTTGCCAAGTATTAATTATTGTTTGATGATTGGTCTAAAACTTTCAATACAACCAGTAAAAATTAACTGTCCCCTGATTCGAACCCCCGCTCGCACAAAAAGTGATTTACTCCCAATGCCAGAATGGTGTTTCTGCTGACTGAGCCATCTCGCCGTTTGGGAGCGTCGGGAGAAAACAGAACAGTTAAGTGATCTCGGACGCTGAGCGGGGCTTCACAAAAGACAACCTTGAGATTTCGGCAGTTCGGCCACTGGCGTCATAAGAGAAAACGGATTAACCGCATTACTCTGTGAGACATTGTTTACCTATGCTGTCATATGTCACAAGGTTCATCTCAGTATGCATTTGCGATCGCGGCAGTAAGCTGAGGCAATATTTCTGTATTCATGGATTAAATCCATCAATCGAGTTCTGATTTTGGCTCATATATCCGTAACGGGTCCTCCAGAGCAATTTTCCACCTTGTACGATGGTTATTATTTCTTTATATCTATGTTTAAAATTTGAGGTGGGATAATGGCGGCTTCTCAAGAACACCGAGGTAGGCGATCTTTTGCACCAACGAACACAAAACTGATGGCGAAAAATAACCAATCAGAACCTCCCAAAAAAAAGAATTTGCCTAAAAACGGAACTTCGTGGTTCTGCGCAGATTTACCAGTCAGACACGACATCTTAAGGTGGAAAAAAACTCGCTGAAAGCGAATTTTAGCAAAGAACACAACTTGACGTAGAGACATGATTGGCTAAAAAATACAACGGTTTTTGATACATCGGAAAATCAACCAAAAATCGGAGACTGGGCAAAACGCTCAAGGTCGCAGAGGTATAGGGAATCCCATAGCGAAAGCAACGGAACGATTCTAATATCATGGGGAACTCCGTTCCCATGACAAAATTTGCAGTTTTAGTCAAAAATGTCATGTCCGACCTCTCTGATTGTCTCGATCCACTATGCGACGCTTGGATGAGAATTGGTTCCGGAATTCGATCGTGTATCGAGACCTTTAAAGCCGTTCTACCGGTTTAGGCAATCACACCGTATGAGCATCTGCATGTGGTGAAATCTGAATTCCCCGTGATTAAACCATTATTTTCGCGAAAACTTGTAAATATTTTCTTCTGGAAATTTTCAGATACATAGTATCAAAATGCAACTGAAGTTCTCAGAACAATCGGAAGAAAATAATCACAAGTTATCCAAAAAAGCTGTGAAATATCAAAGGAACTTTGGCAATCCTAGCGGCGCGGCGGCGCCGCGGCGGCTCTCCTGAAGCGATACTCTTGAAGGCGCTCTGAGCAACTATTTCGCCACAGAGGTATTGCACGGTATCAGACGAAAATGAAGGCGCACTATCGTAATGCAAAGTGACCAGCAGTATCGTTATTACCATCGCGTGGAGTCCTATTGGTTCTACTGTATGCAGCCTCTATTCGATTGATTTTTGTGGAACTTGGTACCAGATGGCATTTTTCGCCAGGAAACTTTAATTAAAACTCAAATTTTCGAGATACGAAAATCTGAGATGATTTGTGGCCTAAAATGTTATCTTGGCGCCTTTGAGATTTTCGAACTTTGCCATCGATATATATCTAATCTTTCTCTGTTCAGTTTCAAAATCGATGTACTCTCAGCTAATTTTGATATCGATATCGGCGCACTTTTTAACTTTCTTGTGTTTTGAACATTCCAATCGGATCAAATCAACACAAGCTAGTGGTATATTATGGTGCTTTGGAAGCACCTTATATCACTCGCTTATGTTGATTTGGTCCGATTTGAATGTTTTAAGTTTCAACACAAGAAAGTTGAAGAGTGCGACGATATCGAGGTTTTGATAAGCCGAGAGTGCATCGATTCTGAAACTGAACAGAAAAGATTACATAGATGACAAAGTTGGATGACCTAGAGAGCGCGCCAAGATAGGTAACATTTCAGGTAACATATCATCTTGGATTTTCGTACTTCGAAAATTTGAGTTTAAATTCAATTTTCCTGGCAAAAAATGTCACCTATTACCAAGTTTTACAAAGATCGATCGAACAAAAGCTGCGTGTCGAAAGATCAGAAGAACTCTACACGGTGGTAAACGATACCGGTTACTCCGTACTCCATACAATAGTGCGCCTTCATTTCCGTCTGATACTATGCAATACTTCAGCGGCGGAATAGTTGCTCAGAGCGCCTTCAAGAGTACCGCTTCCACTTGATGGCACGAGAGTCGCCGTTAGTAGTTGCCAAAGTTCCTTTGATAAAACACAGATTTTCTGGACATGTGAATATTTTTCTTCCGATTTTTCTGAGAATCCCGACTGCAATTTGATTCTATGTACCTATCTGAAAATTTCTATTCGGAAGAAAATTTTCACAAGTTCCTGCGCAGATGATGGTTGAATGACGGAAAAGTGTAAACACCGGAAATGGGAAGGGAAAAGCAGAGAAGGAAGGTAAAAACCAGAACCGGAAAATGAAAACTGGAAAAAAGGAAGTGAAAACCGGAAATAAGAAATAAAAACCAGAGGTGGGACTTGAGGACAAGAAAAGAAAAGTAAATCCGGCAGTAGAAGGTGGAAATCGAAAATAGCGGTAATCCAGGATTGCGCGAAAGGCCTGAGGAAAACATATGAGGATTACGCGAAAGGTCTAAGAAAACATATGAGGATTGCGCGAATAGAAACCTAACGTCTGCTACATGAATGCGCGAATAGAAACCTAACGTCTGCTACATGAATGCGCGAACTTAAAATGAAGTTAATTTAAGGTAGAAGTTTGGCAAAACAGGAAACACTCGGAAAATAAACGCATTTTTATGTTAACGCTAGTTTAGATTAGTTAGTTGACAAGTCATCAATGCCTACCCTCTGATGATAAATGAAGTGAACAGATAAAATGATGGTCGTGGGCATAAGGAGCTTTCCTAACTTTTTTCGGGAAAAATATTTAATCGGGAGAAACGACGCAACGTTTGAATGCTCATACGGCGTCGAAACACAACATAGGCCTTTTAAACTCTATTATTCGGGATTATTCTAACGCGAGTTCGAATAATCGCGCCAAACACAGTGCGGCTGGCGTTGGACGTATATCAGCGCCTGCAAGACTTTTGGAATACTTCACGCATTGCGCCAAACGGTGCGGTCGATGTCAAGCCCATATTAGCGGCTACAAGACTGAATGAATACTTCACGCATTGCGTCAAATGCAGTGCAGTCGGTCAGTTGACGTGAAACGCATGTACTAGCGCCTACATTCCTACAAGACTGTAGGAATGCTGTAGGACTGCGTGTCATCATTCTTGACTTGCTGCTCCAGTTTTTACCATAATTACAGGGAAAATATGTATCCTCTTCGCAAAGATTCAAAAACTCGGATGCTATTTCATTTTTTCTTTTGTTACGTTTGAAAAAAAAGAACGATCACGTCGAAATTTTCGATACTTTTATTTGAGATCATTTAGGTAAATTCGCGGAAACTTTTCGGAAAACTGTAGGTAGCTTTTTAAAGACATTAATCAAAAATAAAACATGATATGAGAGATAAATATACGCTTTCTTTCAGGTGCACCCGCCGGGCTTTGAATCCATTCATCTCTGAAAAAACTTGAGCATGGTTGTTCTGCTATTTTTTACGTGTAGTTTCTATCAGTGGTTGGTGACCGCGTGGCGGCCACAGGCCCCTAGTTCACTTTTTAAATGTCTATGAAAGTTCTCTGGGCCATTCGTGCTGCAAAGGCTATCCATTGAAGAGAGACATGTAGGTAAGAAAGGAAGGAATGAACAGTCTTCCGCGATGTAGTTATCTACCGCAAACTACCAAGGTTGCCAGATTAACGCTTCCTCGTCGAATATTGAATATTCGCGCCAACATTTGAGTTCTCAGTACCAGAAAATTCGCGCAATCCTGTGCATCTCCGAAAAGGTAAAAAGGGAGCATACGCGCAATCCTACCGTAGTCGAAAATAGGTCATGGTAACCGGAAATAGGACGTGAAAACTAGAAGTTGTAGGTGAAAACTGAAAGTGGAAAGAATAAACCGGTGATTTATTTATTTATTAATTTTTATAGTTATAGAAGAACCACAGGGCTACTAGGGCCCCAAAGCATATCTTATTGATGCAATTAATTTCTCAATACAAAAATATGCGTTTGATCTCAACTAACATACAAATCAACTAACATCCAAATTTAAAAAAAAAAAAAAAAAAAAAAAAAAAAAAAAAAAAAAAATCCACACAATTTGCTTATTTACTTTTGAAAAGCACAAGTAATTAAATTTATAAATGAGATTATGTAAAAAGACTATCAAGGAAAATAGACAAAATGGAGAAAATAAAGAACATGGGGAATACAAAAGATAGGAGTTCCCACTCGATACAGCCCCAGGCGACTTGACCGCGGCTAATGGTCCCGCAATGGGAGAGGGACAGGGAAAAGAAAGTAAAACCCCACCGAAATAGGAAGTGAGAACCGGAAAAGGGGAGGGAAAACTAGAAGTGGAGGGTGAAAACCAGGTACGGTAAGGTAACCAGGTAAGTGGAAGGTAAAAAAAAGCAACTGCGGGATAAAAGTAAAACCCGATATAGGAAGTAAAAACCGGAAAAGGGGAGGGACAACTAGAAGTGGAAGGTATAAACCAGGCGCAGTGAGGTAACGGGGTACATGGAAGGTAAAAAAAGGCAGATAAAATGTATCCCCAAGTATACATTTATGTAGCTAACTCAAAATCAACAATAACAAAGATAAGTGTTTTGGATCTGTCACCCCCAAATTATTTCAATCTTGAAAGAATGGTGTCCTGCCAACTTATTTGTTTGGTTTTAATTTCTGACACTAGAAATTTCTCAGGTACCATTCCTTATCGGTGGTATAATGCCCCTGAGAATAACAACTTAAATTCAGTAAGCTATATACTATGGAATGGACGATGCAAGTATCTAATTGTATGACGGATTTGGTTTATGCCTTCATAAAGTCCACACCAAATAAGTTTGCACTCTTCCGAACTATAACAGAAGATCATTTGACATCACTTTTGCAGGTGAAGCAAACACAAGAAGCAAGATGGCGGGTCTTCTGCTGCAGTCTAAAATAGTGTAAACTTATTCGGCATGGACTCTTGACAGTTAACAGCTCCTGTAAGAATTTTTTGGAAATTGTAACCATCATTTAGGAAGGGTCCAAAGGACAGTCGTGGAAAATTAATTTACTAGCTCCAAGCCGATAAATGTCCACGATGCATTCCCAGCACTAGAGATGTCTCAGAGAAATGGCAGCGAGAAAAAATTCATCCAAATTTTACGGTAGGAACAGATGATGGAATCATTCTTCTGCGTGCAATTATGAGTCTGTGCATAAAGTTCAGATGGATAAAATTAATGGTCTCATGACATAAAGCTTGAATGAGCAGATATTTTATTCCGCCACTTCTTTGAGTTCATAGAATTGGAATAATATAGAAATATAAGAAAATAAAACCTGAAATGGACCAGGAGAAGTGCATACCTGTGATTGCAGGTCTTCAAAACATCAGCGCTCTTTCAAGAAAAAATGACACCTGGGAGGATGAATACCTCCGCAAAAAGATGAATCACTTCCGGATATTAATTTTTACTTAAATATAATGTAATAAAACAGAAAATTAATTCGTTGAAACTGTTAAAAGCACACCACAACCCGCGAACAGACCGCGTTGTTTACGATTTCATCCATGCTTTCCTGGCTTTCCCGATTTTTTGCAGGTTATAATTTCTTCGCCATCGTTCATCGTTCATCGATTAGGTGTTTTGTTGGTTAGGTGTTTGTTATGATGTAGTTAACCCTGAAAAACTCCGAAGTGTCTGAAACATATTTCTCAATATTTTCTGCTCAAAATGGAGCTACAAATTAAATGCCGACTATGTGCTTCCGACAGTTTTAACGGTGTTCCTATATTTAGTGACAACAATCTGATCAATGATCTCAGTTCCTTCATCAACCAACATCTACCCCTCAAGGTAACAATCTACTCCACTCTTTAAGATTACTTCTATCCATAAGATTTTTCGTGGAAACTATGTTTTTTCCTTCTAGTGTGTTTCATCCAAAACTGCTTTTCAACCCAGCTAACTTTGGGATCCAATAAATGCATCTAAATGAGTATCACAGCTGCGCAATCAGTTACGCTGCATGCCAAACGGCCGAACGATCATCCTTAGATACGAGCTATCCCAGGGGAGAGAATTATATCTTTAAACCTTGCTGGACTGTGATCTCATGAAGTAGCAACAGTCAGATAGTGTTTCTATTACTATGTATTGCAACTTCTTCGCTCAACCATTGCAACAGCAGTTCACTCGCTCCCGTTGTGCTCTTTACAACTTCGTTTGCCAGGAATACCAATACTTGTCAACAGGCTATCGAGATGATTTTTCCTTAAAGAACATATGAGGGAAACTCAAATCTTGAAAGAAACAACTCCATTGATGTTGAAGTATTATATTGCAAGCTGTACAAAGCGATTATAAGATTTGATTTGCGCGGTAGTTTCCAATATCAACTTGTCAAAATTCTATACTGAATTAGAACACTAACGTTTTACCTCCGAGAAACTAGCAAGTTTCAAACATTCAACCATTTTCTCTAAGTGATTCCAGTACTTTCCTTCCATTTAGCATGTGTATGTGTATGTTCAGAAGCGAAAGCAAAGGAAAGTTATCAGTACTATCTATCCTAGACAGTAGTCCATATCTACATATGCAAAGCAAATGTTTTTATTTTAACATCTTGGTAATTCTGTTGATTCTTTTTTATTTCCAGGTTGAAAAAGATGGAGTTTTTTCAAACATTATTTGTCAAAGTTGTAACCTCCAGCTTCATGCCACCATTGATTTTTTTGACAAAATTCGCCAAGGTCAGGATAGACTGCAAACCTTGCTGCAACTGGTATGTTTCTCAGCAACCTGTTTTGATGGCTAAAATTAAAAGTGCGCATTTCTGTTTGGCACGTTGCAAATCTCTGCTCTTATTTTGTTGATTTGTGAGAAAACCAACCAATAGTTCTTTTGAAAATTTTCTTCTATTGTCAAAAAATTTGCAGTCAAAGAGGTATATTTTGGCTAGTCTTTGAAAAAACAACTTCTTTTGGTTGTCTTGGTACTTTTTTGAAAAAACATAAAATACAGGTTGAAACTGAGCTATTTTAAAATTTTGCAATGAATGCATGCATTTTTTTACTTGAGTCACTGATTTTCTTGTTTCCTTCTTGCAATCGGAAGGGTATTAAATTATTATAATATAATACCAAAACCTGGTAAGACTAATACATGTCTAAAAAATCAAAATAGGTGTTGATACAAAACAGGATCACCCCCCTAATGGATCATAAAAATATCTATTAACAATATAATAACTTCATCTGCAAGTACTGGAAGAGGAATGAATAATAGACAATGGACCACTAGACAAGGTACGAGTTAAAGGATTCTGATACATGTTTCTTAATCTGAATTTCACGTAGAACACGACTCGCGCAACGAAAATTACTGAAACCAACTCCTAACGAAGATATTAACGTTTTTATTTCACATTGATTACGAGAAATTTGAACTGCCCGCTCACAAGAAACTCAAAGCTCTACGCGAATCAAATCGCGCACTACAACGGTTTCGGCAATCATCTCTGTCGAGGAATGTTGATTTCCCACCATGTGTTGTTCAAAGTATAGGCAATTTGCTATAGCTGAGCCAAAGCGTTTAGATTGAGGTTGCCAGATTTTTACATCGCAGAGGCTGTCATGATAACGTATAGCGCGCGATGTGAATCACGCAGAATATTGAGTTTTCATGAGCGGGTGGTTTGAATTCACGCATCAAGAATCAGTAAATATCTTCGTAAGGAGTTGATTTCGGTAATTTTCGTTGTGCGTATCGTGTTCTACGTGAAATTTTGGTTAAGAAACATGTATCAGAATGCTGAAATTCGTACCTTGTCTAGTGGTCCATTAGTAATTACAACTGATCAAACAAAAAGTCTCACATAATCAAAACTTATACCCTTAAGTCGTATCAAAAAAATGGTTACAAAAAATTAACAGAACCTAAGAGAAGATACACCCATGTAAAAAAACATTAATAAATCAACGGATGGCCCACTAAGTGCTAACCACAAAAATAAAGGAAGGTAAGTAGTTCAATAGAACTATCTAACCTCCTACCTATGTTCTAAATAGCATAAAAGGTAATGAAGGAACAAGAAGTCAAAAACTCAAATTATTTATAAAAAGAAACACCATATCAGGAGCACCAATTTTCAAGAGAACAACTTCTCAGTTGCCCAGTTTCATTTCTCCTCTTATTTCTTTCTCAGAAACGAAGCAACATTTGGCTTTGAAATTCGACAAATATTCTCTATGATGAAACTTTATAATGAAGCAAAGTGCAGATTCTCTGTTACATAAAGTGCAGATTCTCTGTTACATAAAGTGCAGCAATTAATCAGAATTAATTTAAGATAGAGATAATAATTTAAATCTTTATGAAATTTCAACCGTTGAAAATGATTGCTGATCCCTCTGGTTCTGATGGTCCTAAAAAGTGATGAGAACTGAAGATGGAGTGAACTGTCACGTTCGTCTCTTGTAACATCATAACCCAGGATACTGACATATATAAATGTCATTTCATGTGAACCTTCGACATAATTAGAATACTATCCAAATTAAATCATAACATTTTGTGTTCCTCCTTTTTCATCTCAAAGCCAGTGCCTCTCTTTCTCTAAATAATTTTTGCATGGATCCTATTTCATAAAATTACAAACCAACAAATATAAAATCCAACTCTCACTAAAACGTATATAATCGCTCTGTCTCTTTTCATAGGTGGGAACAGACATGAAAAATGACCTTGCACAGATGGATGGCGTCATAAGCCAACTCTCAGATGACAACCTTCAAATGGTGTATTCCAGTGATCTCTATCCTGAGATAGAAATGAGTAAGTAAGATAATATAGAAGCTCTCGCCTGCAGCTTTATGTTGCATTCTGCTTCTGTGAACCTGCATGAAACAATTGTATCACTGATTCTATCACTTATAAGGTAAAACGTCACTGTCTTTATAACAGTTGAGGTCCCTGCTGACAATGTATCAGCCAGCAGTGTGCTTTAATCGATATCAAAGTGATTCGTTTTGTAGTTTAATTATGGTGAAATCAGCATCTGATTTGTAGCATCAATCAGATCAGAATTCTAAGAAATCTTTGAATACCACGACAGCTCTTGAAAATGTGTTAAGATTCCTAAAAAAAAAATTTAAGTGCAAGTAAAATTTACGAAATAGGTATTGCTTTTGATGTGTCATTTTACTCCTCTATAGTATGTAGCACTCTCAAAAGGGGACCATTTTGCCCTACCTATCTCTCAATATATCTCTCTTACCAAATCCCATTCAACTTACAGATCGCCTTTATCTGAAGACAGTTCATTTAAAAAATCCAATGATCTCTTAATGTTAGAATGTAATCCAATAAATATAAGAAGATTAGTAGTGCAAGTCTCAACCTTGCATTAATTTTGTGATGTAATTGCAGCTTGAACTTTTGTCCGTTCATTTTCATTTGCAGATCATTCCAGGATGTCTTTCACATGCCCCCCCAATCTGAATGATGAATTCCAAGCAACAGAGGCACCCAAAAGACGAGGAAGACCGCGAAATAAAAAGTCCATAAAGGAAGATTTTGACTTGCTAAATGACGTTAAAAAGGAAGATTTTGACTTGCTAAATGTTCCTTCCAATGATGCGGTTGATTCAGACTCTCCTGCTTTTCCTCGTGTTAAAAGAAAACGACAATTACCTTTGAGGCATGTCTTCTGAAATTAGTTTTATTTCATTTCATTTGATATCATTATTTAACATATCCAGTATCCTCTTTTCAATGAACCGCAGACAAGGTGGAGATCTAAACATTATGATTTATATTTTCTCCTTAAAATTGTATTTGGAACATGATTTGTGCAGCAAAAATGATTGGAAGTAACTCCTGACCAAGATATTAACTTTTTGATGCATCAATTCAAACTTCCCGCTCGCGAAAAAAACCCATAATTAACATGAAGCATTTTGCAAAAACACAAGTAACATCATTTGTATGATTTGCGTTCTTTTTGATCAGTGTCAAGTATACATTCTTGCATAAGAGAAGATCTCCGAACCTCCCTTTGCATGAATCAAAGAACCAACATTATTCAGAATCTATTCCTCCTGCAACCTCTGAGAGAAAAGCTGAGAAGTTTCTACACCTCTGTTTTGTAATATGTTGAGTCTTTTGAATGCTAGGACAAAAATATAACTGATTTCTTTCGTCATTTAGGTACCAGGGTGCAGTGCAAGATAAAGAACTTGATCGAATGATTAATGGTGAACCAGTCGCAAGTCAAATAGACCAATTAAATGGAGATTCATGCTCAAATGATGATATATCAAGACCAGATGAAGGTAAGAATCACCAGGATCATCAGCGATCAATTAGGCGTCAAGAGTAGCATCTCAGAGACAGGTTTAATTTCTCAAGGCCTCATCATTCGACTCTCAAAATGATGGTATTTACCCTTGTACCGTGCACATTTTTCCCTGAAAAATGTGCCAAAAATTAGGGGAATTTCTTCTTTGGGGTAGGAATGGTAGGCAACCATCAAGTTCCACACCAGAGAAGGAACACTTCTTGCTCCCAGAGTTGAGCGACTGAATTGCAAGGAGGAAGTATAGAATTTGGTTGTGAGACGGCCAACAGAAAATGTTTTGGAATTGAAGAAAAATCACTCACATTATCAGTAATTGCTTATGAAGCCACTTGGTTGCTTACTGTTATGAGGCAGTGTACATTTCAATGTTTGCAACCACCTTTTTATTCTCTCAATAACCCAAGAGAAAACCACTGATGCTCAAACCATTTGCTAAACACTCTATTCTCTTTTTATCTGTATCTGCAATTTTGACACTATCTCTCCGGCAGCATCAGACAATTTGCGTGATTTTTTATTTGCAATTGCTAAGTTTTCACTAATAAGTCAAAGGAAATGTTTGATATGTCCATTATTTTTCTCCGTGAAAATTTTATCACAATGAAGCTATCCAAACTAAATATAATCTTTCATATTATTTTTTCATTGATTTCCAAAATTTTGAAAGTAAAGTTATGCTCTCATGAACAAAAGTCTATCAGCTAAAGTCCTGTCAACATCTAAAAAAGTGTCCAAGTTTGTCCAGAAAATTCAAGCACTTTCCAATTTTCTCTTGATATTTGTTCGACCCAATTAAAAGTCTGTAGAACCTAGATTTACTAAAATTCATCATCAGTGTGTCCCACTCTAATTCAGTCGACTTTCCTCAAATTTGTGGTTTATGTTTTTAGATCTGTCGCCAGACACAAAAGACACAAAACCTACCGACATCACTGTGAATCCATTGAAAAAAGGAAGGAAGTACAACTCGAAAAAGCAGAAACAAGTATTTGTTTGTGATATTTGTGGATTAGGTTTCCTATTAAAATGCTACTTCACCGATCACAGAGCAACTCATGAAGGAAGTGTAATAGAATGCAAAACATGTACAGACACTTTCTTGAAGGAAGAATCGTACAAAGCTCACTGTATATTGAATCCTCAGTGCACAGTCAAGGATTGTAAAGATGAACTTGGTCTCAATGAAAATGAAATAATAAATAATTCTCAGCCAATCGATTTTAAAAAGCAAGATTTTCCTTGTGACTTATGTGATAAAATTTTCTCACACGAGCCGTCTCTTGCTTTGCATAAGAAAGCTGTTCATGAAGACTTGAAGCCATTTGTGTGCAGCGTCTGCAACAAGAGTTTTAACTCTGTGTTCAGCCTAAAAACTCATTTAATCCATTTGCATAAGGTCAGTATGATAATTTATAAGAACTACTGCTTCATAATTGGATGTATTTCTGTCAAACGGAACCAAGCGCCAATTTGAGTTCCTGTTGAGGAATTCAGAATGCCGGATAGCGCATCCTGTCAAACGGAACTAAGCACCATGGAAAAACATTGCGAGTATAGGACGAAATGAGCCCGGCGCCCGGTTCCGCTGCCAATCCAAGCCCCTCTCTACCTTTCTCCCCCTATAGCACTTAGTTCCTATTGACAGAAATACATCCAATTTTTTTTCAATAACAAATCAATTGCCTAAAGATCGTTTGTATCTTTATGGTCAGGTTTGCAAACTTGTAACCTTTGGATTTTCCAAACCCATGACTGCCTTAACAGCAACCCAATTATTGAATCTGTGTTCATACAACAAGACAAAATGTACTCCTATCTTCATTATGCAATAAATCATGTCTTTTCAATGCTGTTATGAGCGTTCAACAGTTGGCCTGCAGTCCTGATGATTCAAGGTCTTATGCAGGGGACCAGAAACTCCACAACTGTGTGACAGGGCCCACTAGTATGAATTTTTCCTTGCGGTTAGCTTGTAGACGTCTTGCCACAAAATTTTGACATACTGCTAGGGAAATCTGTGCAGTTAGGGAATGACCGTGCCAAGTGCTTGCAGCAAGAGTGGTGGCTAGGCTTGGATCCTAACCGCAAGGAAGGATGCTCATTGCTAGGGCATGACATCTTGCAGTTATAACTCTGCTTAATTTGGTGAAAATTCTGGTGTGAAATTTTGTGCCCGAGAAAATTGGAACCACTCTGTGGGATGAACTTGTGATTTCCTTTTTTTTATCACAATGTAATATATTTTTTTTTCGTTTTTTCAGAAAAAAACTCAGAAAGGATATCCTTGTGAAATTTGTGGAAAATTATTTAATCATCCTAGTTCAGTAATATATCATAGGAAAGCAGAACACACGGTTTTACAATTCAACTGTGACAAATGTGATCGTAGTTTCAAACATAAACAATTGCTCATGCGACATCAGTTAGTCCACAGTGATGTCAGGTTCGTATTCAAAGATAAATACTTTTTTTCTTTTACATTATTGCACCAGGAAAATTATCATAGATCCTTGCTTCTATTCAAGGGTTAGTTCGTTTACTACTGAGTCAGTGAATCGGTCAGTTACAGAAGGGCTCGAGCGTCAAAAATGAGAATTCGAGAAAAATGGTAATAACCGTTTTATTGACCCCTTATAAATCTCAGAGCTCTAAAATATTAAAGTGATGAATTAATTAATTAATCCGCAATTTCAAACAGGTTGGTTCATATAGTTTCTACTGTTTTTTTCGTATTTTTATACCTAGCGCTTGAGCCCTTTTGTAACTGACCGATTCAGTTGTGATGATATGTGTAGAAGTTATGAATTTTATAATCATCAAATTAGATTCAACCATAAGACTGTGATGCAACAATAATAATTTCTTTTCCTTCAAAGTACATCAGTGAAAAAGAAATTCTTAAAAAAATTAGAAAAATGTCCGATGTCTCAGACATCTTCATAATTTATTCTACTCTATTCTACTCTCCTTTCATTGTCTACCCTTTGGCGTAGCCTTACTATTAAATCTAGCCCCTATTTTGACTGTAATAAAAGAACTTTTTTATTTTTACAGGCCGTTTGCTTGTAAATCTTGTGGGGCTGCGTTCAAAACGAAACCAAATCTTATGAATCATCAATCAGTTCACTCAGGAGAAAAGAAACACATTTGTGAGTTATGTGGTCAGCAGTTTGCCCATAAAACAAGTTTGAAACTCCATTATCGGTGGCACGCAGGTAAAAATTCTTCTGTGATTGTTCAAACTCAAAATATAAAAGTGTGAAAAACTACTCTTCAGGGAAGTGCAAAATTAACTGTAAAATAGTTTTGCAATAGTGAGGAAATTTTTTCGTCAGAAATATAGTCTTAAAGTATTTTCTTTTAACGTCTGATTTTTTTTACCTCCTTTAGTCACATATGTTTTGGTTGCTTTCAAAGGATCTATTTTTCTCCACCTCTGAAAAAGAAAAAATCAATTCAATATCTGCTATTCATCGTTTTCTAACTCCTTTTAAATTAACAGAACTTGCACTTTCATATCTCACAACGTTTTGAAAACTTCTTAACTATAACCCCACCGTTGCTATTTCCAGCTACTCTCTAAATATGGCAGGTATAAAGTAATGCAAAGGCAAGACTTTCTCTTTTTCAATTTAATTTAGTTAATTAACACGCAAAATGCGATACCTCAATTATGAGGTAATGTTGCTGTTGAAGGGATTTTTTCAATGAATAAGATATCAAATAAAATAGTCCAAAGATTGTAGATGGCATGAAAAAAACACTAGCGTAAAAGAGATTAGCACTCAACGGTGCCCGTCAAAAATTCTTGACAGGACCTTCAAGCTGAAGATTAGACTTGCCAAGCAATAATGGCTTCTGAACACTTTGAAGATAGATCTCAACTTTCACTTTAATTGTCCTCCATTATTACTAACAAAAAATTTCAAATGTGATAAATTTTACCCTTGATTCTTAAAAGTGTCTTCATGGTTCTCCCCTTTTTTGTAATATATCATTTTTACTTCCTTCATTGCAGGTCAAAAACCTTTCAAATGTGAGACTTGTGGAAAGTCATTTTCTCAAAAAGGCAATTTACAAGAACACAATCGTATCCACACAGGTGAAAAGCCATTCGCATGTGTATATTGTGACAGGAAATTTACAACGTCATCACAAGTAAGTTTTTAATTTGATCATTGCACAATCTTACCTCAAGGTTGAAGTCAAATAGCACATCTTTGAACCTGTTTCAAAATAGGATGAAACATAAGTTTGCTCTGATTTATTAAAAAATCAGATTTTACTTCCTTTTTTTAGCAAGATTTTCTTTTGTAACTAAAGCTTGAAAATTTGTAATGTAAATATTATTTTTTTAAATTTAACTTAAGTCCAAAACCCTATTAATGATGAAATGAAATGCTACAAATTACGCTGACCAGGTAGGCTTAGCGGTCAAAGTGTCTGACTCTAGGTCCTTGGCTCAAATCCTGATAGTGACGACAAATTTTTAGGGAACTGATAGTGTATCTGCAGAAATAGATTCCACTTCAACTTATTCCTGAAAATTTGAAAGTCTGAAGCATGGATTTGGAGTTCCGGCAGCTCAATTGGGCTCTCTCTGGTTCGAAGGGTAGTAAAAAGAGGGGGAAAAACAAATATAGGTAAAGCTGAACATATTTTTAACATCACAAATGATGCAACTCATGATTAGTTAGCTGCAGAGGCTTGTTTTAAAATTAAAGTCAATTTCAGGTTTGAATTTTCTAATGACTAAGAATGTGTCAATAATGGAAGAGTGTTGTTTTGACTTTCCAATTGTCATTAGTGATAAGCAAGTAGTTGTAATCTCTATTTTTCTTTTTCCAGTACAAACTTCATGTGAAAAGACATGTGGGTGAGCGTCCATGGCAATGTGATATTTGTCCGAAAACTTTCCTGCACCGTGATACGTGGAAGTGTCATATCCGAAGACATCGTGGAGAGAAACCTTTTGCTTGCACCTACTGCAGCCGGGAATTTTCTGAACAATGGGCCCTCAAGAAACATCTCAGGCTTCACACCGGTAAATTTTATATATAAAATGTAGTTGGCTTTAAATTTCAGGAACCAGCCAGCACATTTTTGTAAAAAAATAATACACAAATCAGCATATCAATTCAGCATATCTAATGGCTCCTATAAAATAGTGATTCACTGAGTAACCAAAATATCATTTCAGTTTAAAAGCTGTTATTGTCTTTGACAAAATGAAACATGCAAGCCGTACCATCTTCAAAATTATTATCGGTCTGTTGTGCTATCCTATTGCTTTAGTAGAACGGGTATTTAGTTCAAATATTTCTCAGCTTGTTGTAGTTTCTTTTATTTTAATTCATCTTATGCCGGACAAATGGAAGTCATAATTATTTATGCATAATACAAAAAATTTTTTTTATCCTGATTTGTGAGAGTCAAATGTTAATACTTTCGCTTTATTTTCAGGAGAAAAACCGTATTCTTGCGAAATCTGTCATAAATCTTTTTCGGACTGTTCAAATCTGACAAAACACAAAAAGGTAATTAAATCTTTCTGTGCTATGTAATATCTTCTGTTTATTACTGTGCATCGTCTTATTTTGACATATTTATGCCAAAAGGAACTATGTGCATTGGGATTGCACGCAACATACTACCTTTCAGCATAGACATGTCCATCCTATCATACACTGTACGCACTACAGCACCATTCCAACACTCTGCAAAATCAGTGATTTTCCGCATACTATGGGCTCTATGTCTTTTGACAGCCACGAAAACATAATTAAATTTTGTATTTTTGAAACCCCCAGAGTATAAGGATACAGAAAATTCAACCTCTTAAAAAAGAAGGCGAATGTACGCATGGTTTTTACCAAGAGGGGGGGGGGGGATTTAATTCTACATCAAATCAAGAGCTGAAACCACTCAATTTTAGTCTCTCTTTTCGCAAAATGAAAATTATCAATAATCTTGGAATTTTTCAACCAAAGTTTCTAGTGGTTTAAAAGAAAACGCCTTGTGTTAGGGAATGTGGCTGTCTCTTATAATTTTTACATGTTTGACATATTAAATGATTGTAATTCTAGCGATGGATAATTCTTAACTGGACTCAATTCAAAATTATGGTCAAAAATGGGACGCAAAGTTCTTTGCAAAGTCCAATAGAAAAATTATGGCTTGCACGAACACAGGTCCTGTAGGGTCATGGAATGTTAAAAATGTTTGAGTTTCAATTCAATATTTTTTCTCTCAGGTACATGATAAACTTCCTCGGAATGCAAAGAAGGAGGAGAAAATTGATCTCTCAGTCTGGAAATTAATTAAAAGTCATATTGAACAAGGAGGAGATAAATCTTTGATTCTCTCCGATGACAAAGGAGATGGTGTGGAGCAAATTATTTATGTGACTTACGATGACTCCAATGCGGCAGCAGCAACATCATCATCAAAGGTTGGTAATTGCAAAATCGCACAAAATCTAAGGAGACTCAGAAAATTTTAATTTTCAGATTCTCAATTGCATTAATTAGTCCACGAGCATAATCAGATTTGTCCAAACCTCCTAGAATTTCTTGAAGACATGCTATCATAGGCTTTTTGTAGAGTCATGAATATTAAATGTAACTCCTGGCCAATGGCCATCTTTTTCTTGATAACCTGGGTGATGCAAAACGGATGGTTGAAGGTTGATCTGCGATCTCTAAAACCTGCTCGCACTTTTGCCTCATGATACATCCATTCTTCTTCAATTTTTGTTGCTCATAGATCCTGCCACAAATTATCCTAATCGTTCTGGTCTCAGCTGAATCTCAATAATTTTCGATGTTATCTTTTTTCCTTTTTTGTGCATCACTATAGCATGACATTCTGCCGCAATTCTGATTGCCTCTCGGTCTATAAATTTTTAAAATGGTCCTTCTTTTTTCGACCTTAAAAATTAATTTTTCAGTGTGATCGTTAAAGTAGAATTTGATATCAGTAGCCCTAAATTTAATTTCTTCTCTTTTAACAGGTTTCCAACAATGGCAATGTTTTAATGCCCGATAATTTGGAAGATGAAATTCTCTTAGATGCGGGATTGGCCAAATCTCTTCAAATGACAGATGAGTTGGGTAATCCAGTGCACTTTGCCATGTTGGATGGAGGAGAGTTACAAGTAAGTTTAATTGCAATATTTTTCCATTTTGAATGACATTTCATTCACTAAATCCAAAAATTAATTAGACTACGGAATCAGTTCATGTAACGTTATAAAATATTTTGATCAAAATTTTTTGACAAACCAAGGTTGCTGACTGTCTGGGAAACCTGGAGAGTCGGGATTTAGGAAATTTACAATGATCTGGAAAGTTCAGGGAATTTTGCGAGTAGCGTGTCAGCTCAGCAACTTTTGCCGGTGATTGTTCTGCTAAAAACGTTAAACGGAGCTTTTGCTATATGTTTTCTATTTTTGGAATCCAGCATATCTTTTCAAATTATTATTCAAAAGCAAATAAATTTTTTATCTATTAGATTGATGAAGATGAGCTGAAATAAAATTAGCCTATTGCACTTCTATATTCCTAATTACTTATTTATATTTTGCAAAATGTGAAAAATTGGAAGATTTAATCAAAACCCCAGGTCAGTCCCAAAAGAAGTGTGAATGGCAATGACACATGCCTCAATAAAATCACAAATGAACAAAAACTTGAAAGACTAGAATGTTTTCTTTATTTTTATGATTTGCAGTTAAAGGAATTAAAACATTGTAAATAATGAACATCTGTGTAGAGTTACTCGCTCAGTTCCTCAGCTCTGATAGAAACCTTAAGAGGAGACACCTATTATGAATTTTATTCAGTGAATTAAAATGACCTACTTCTTGTGTTTCAGCTTACAAGTGGAGCGGATGGGCAAGCTCTACAGGTGGTGACGCAAGATGGTCATACCATACCAGTACAAATAACCAATATTGATGAGCAGTCATCTGAGCCGTCCAGACTTACGCTTCAGCTCACCTCTCAGATACCAACAAGTTTGCCAAACTTGGATGTGACTCCTCCTAAAGCACCAGTGAAAACAAAACGCACGAAAGCTAGTCAAAACTCAACTTCAGACCAAAGCCCTTTGTTGAACCAACCATTGCGTAGCAATATTTTGAAGAAACCACAATTGGATCCTATAACGGAAGATAATTCCAAGTCATTACTCACATCAAATGACGTGGAAACATCGTCCTCTCTTTTGTTGAGGGACCCGCCTGCGCCACTTTTACCATCATCACCTTCAAGTAGCCAGAAAACATCAACAGCCTCGCTCTTGCAAAATTTGAACCGCAATATATCTTCTTCGGCAGATTATTTTTCGAAACAATCTGATGTCACTCCCTTTGTTTCTGATTCTTCTGAGAGTATTCTGCTTACCCACACGGACGGCTCCACCTCACTTCTCCAAACTTCGGTTAGTACTCAGCATAATTATACCTCTGGGATCTGTCTACCTAAGTTGTATTGCTTCCTCATTTTTTATTTTTGCTATTCTAAAATCTAATTTTGTAATTGTGTTAAAACTGCTCATGGTGACATAAACTAAATTATCGTAGGCTGATAGAACTCTTAAGATCCTTATAATATCTTCAAATGAGGTGTTTTTTGTGTGAAAATATTAGGCTTTAGAACGTCAGGTTCATACCAAGCCTACCAGATTTTTCTCTCTCAACAACGCACGCCAGATATCGTCAGACAAAATCATGACTTCAACTTCGACGCCTTTGCAACTTGTTAATACAACAGGCGTCTGCCTTCACTTACTAGTGAGTTAAAAGACGGCAGAAAATTGTCTATTTTTGTAATTAATCACTGCAAGTTTATTAATGTATAAGGGATACTTTTTTGTGATGAATTTCCAAGTATGTAAAAATGATATTTCCAAAATATTTCAAACGGAATGTATGTAGTTATTTTTAAGTCAGCAGCTTCATTTTTACAACTTCAATTTCAAGAGCTTCTCCTCAGTTTTTAAATATTATTACTCTCTCTTACAAAAATTTATTTTGATCCACTCAATCTATAATAATCTTTTATTGTTTATTGTGTTACAGGCGCTAACCGATAAAGGTCCTAATGATGGAGTTTTAACAATAGATGAAACTGATCCCTCTCAATCAATTGAATTTATGGTGGATGGTCAAAAACTTCGGCTGCTCACCTCATCTCTACACAATGCTGGAATGCAAATCCCTGTAGAGTTTTTAAACATGAACTAATGGATCTTTTGGAAACCTTTCAAACATCGGCTCAGAATCACCTTATTCACTTCTCATTTTTTTTTTTTTTTTTTTTTTTTTTTTTTTTTTTTTTTTTTTGGATAGTGGACTGAATACTTTCGCATGTTTCATACGTGATTCTGTAGGACTTTAAATCAATATTGAAGAAAAAACTATTCAATTGAATAGTAGGGTGTGTTTTACGCAGATTCCGATCGTTTATCTAAGATCGCTCCAAAATGTTTGTCGCTTAAAGTATTTTCATACTTTCAAAATCAATTTTCGCAGTTCACTAAAATCCATCCAAAATTGTTTTATATTGCTCAGTTTATTCTAGTAGATGCTCAAATCTATTCTCACGTGAGGTACTGTGTGTTGCTGGTTGGTTTTTGTTTGGGTATTTTGGATGAAATTCAAGGTGCCCCGAAGTCCTCTGCCAGTTCCTCTATTTTTATGTGGTACATTTCTTGCTTTGCAAAATTGCTAAGAGTAGAATCAAATGATGAGATTTCTGTTGATAAATAGAATGTAATCAATAGGTTTAACTTATTAGGACAGTTTTTGTTCTTCTTATATTCAACCAGCCTGATATAGACTAAGTCAAAGCCGCCAAAACTGTTCGTCTCATCTCTCTGTCATTGTTGTCACGCATAAATTTAAGCATTTCACTAATTTAAGATCAGGTACTCTGGGCTTATTTTTAGTGTGGAAACTGGTCAGTAGGATAGAGAAGGAGATGGCATACTACCGCTGCATCAAATTTTTTATGGCATGAAGGTATTTTGTTCCGTGAACTAACTTGATGTCTATGTTGCTGCTCATATTTAATTTTGCAACTTTGACAACATCCTTTCAACAGCAACAGCTTACGATGATAGAAGCTCAATGAGTGTTTAAAAACTCATACAGAAAATTTTCATGTCTCTTGTCTCTACAATTTATCATTAGAAGAGCAAACTGTATTATCTGTGATACTTTGTTTAATACAGGATGAAAAGAAGTTCATCAACTCATATTATAAATTTTTCTCCTTATCCCTCTCTCTGAGATTCAAAATAAAATTTAGACAGATTTTTTAGCTATTGGTCCCCTCAGAGATTGCTGTTTGGTGATATATATTACCACTGTTTTTCATATTGTTTTCATTTTTAAAAGGAGCTTCTGCATGAATGCTATGTCCCTCCTCTTCAAGAATATGAACATACGCGAAGCATAGAAAGAAGCAACATTCCTCAGTATTTAAATATACTAAAAAATATTTATGGAGACACAGTGAAGAGTTATGACTACATAGATGCTAAGAGAATCTATCTCCCAAAATCGAAAGAAATAGAAAGAAGGCTCAGAAATAAAAAGAGGGGGGGAGGGGGGATGATTGAAAGTATTGTACAGTCCCTGATTGCCAGGAGTAGACACTCAGTAATCTTTGTCTTAAAATGCCCGAAAAATGGGGGGAGGGGGTAATTTTTTTCTTGCAGAAATATCTTTATAAAAATTGAACTCTAGTCACAATCTTTCTCCGCTAAGAGTCTGTTCAGCAACTCTTCTTTTGTAATGTACTCTTTCTTCAAGGTATTTAGTTACCTTTCAATGTACATGAATGTAAATAAATTTTCATGAGGAAAAAATAATTTTTTTCTTCTTCTTTCTCTCCTCAAAGTTCACTGTCTCTTAACCCCAATCACCTCAACCACTTCAACCAAGAAGATGGGGCCCCAGACAATACAAAATGAAAAATTGCATGGATGAGGCTGCGTCGCAAGGAAGCGAAGAATATGTAACTGAAACTGTTTTACCGTGAATATTCTTTTATTCTTAGGGTAATCAATAAATAACTAAAAATAGGAAACAAACAAATAAATAGTAAGACCAGTCAGATTAGAACAGAAATTTCAGATAAAATTTTTGTACACTCAGAACTAGAACTGAGAATGTTAGATTGGTCAACGGAACTAATCAGCAGCTGAATTGTTGAATCACTATTAAACGACCCTTTTCGATAAATATCATTGCCTTGATAGGAATTAATCAATCAAGGTGGTTGGATAGTGATTCAACAATCGACCCACAGGAACCATAAACTCGGAGGAGGAAAGAAATTTCGCAAAAAGGTACGATGATATTGAGAGGGCTCCAGAATAAAATTCAATGATGGTATGTGTCAAAATTGCAATTCACATCAAAGGCTTCTTACATTCTTTTCAAAGAAGGGAGGTGGAGAGGAAGTGAATTGAATTTTTTTTATAATACAAATGCTTTCCTTCAAGGAGAGAGTCCATTTTTTCATGAAAATTACAGGTGTTGTGAAATACAATTTTTCCTGCAAAAACGTCCATACATTTGATTCTTATCATCAATGAGTCTCTTCCATTCAGTTAAAAATTTCAGATTGAAAACAAGAAATTCTACGTAAAAATTGAATAATTTATAGAACAATTAAGTTTTAAATCGATTACTAATATCTTGTTTATGAGGCAAATGACACAACAGTGGTGATTGCTTGTAATTGAAAATTACACGTTGATCCTTGAGCGACATAAACTATTGATTGACAGTTAGATAAAAATACTGTGACATGCCCTTCCGGAACATCCAAGAAAATTCAGTCTCTACAAGAGGTAATGGAATACATAAAATAGCCAGGACATAGGTACAAAATTAAATGATAAGTACGTGATATTCACTGTAGCGAGCCTTCATTCAAAGGCATTAGCAAAACTTGAAAGTTATCGAGTTCGTAGATGCAGGGAAAATGACCAATTTCTTTCTTGGGCATTATAGCTCAAATTTCTATACATAAAAGGAAAATTCAAGCTGAATATCTGAGCTTCATTAATTGATGAAGTATCATTTCCAGTTTTTGCAGCCGAGAGTTGCACAAAAAAATTGTAAGAACTCTGTGGCGGAAAGAATGACAGTTGATTAAATCTGTACACTTTGAGTCATATGGTCACCTTAGGTTTTGGAGGCGAATAAAAAAAGAAAGTTGTAAAATACAATGAAAGCTTTTCACCGTAAAACAAAAAAAATTGAAATTAAACAATAACAATAACCCTGGAACGAAGGTGGCTTACAAATCAAAATACTCAATTCCTAACTTACTGTACAAACAATTCATTTACAAAATCTTAGCCTTAGGCGCTCTTATTATTTGAGTTTCACATACAGTCTATACGTTTTAATTTCCATCGGTTTGATTGTGACGACTAGGTCTGTTGAGCGCTTGGCTAGAGGCTTTTCCTTGGGCAGCTCTGGGACTGCAGTGGGAGGTGCTGGGGTTGGAGCCTCATAGTTCCACGAGTACCTATCCAATTCTTTCTTCAATATGTTTGCGCCAAGGGTTAACTCTTCAGCTGATAGTACATCTATTTCTTTGAATAAGGTCTGAAAAGAAAAAATAAGAAATGTAGTAACAGAGAGTGAGTAGAAATGATAGTAACCAGCCAATGCCTTCCTTTTATCCATTTTTACCATAAATGTTTAGGCTTAAAAACAGTTGAGATATGAAAGCAACCATAAGTCATTAACCATGTATAAACCAAAGACTCATTATTATGCTCATTTTTTCTTCGAAAAATCATTCCCTTAAAATGCCTACATCGATGAAAAAGTTGTTTTTTCTTGGAGCAATAATTTACTCTCGATTTGGCACTACCAGAAAATAAAATTAAAAAAAAAAAAAGTTAAGTTGGTCAATTCCTGCATGTTTAAAATAGCTAATTTTAAAAGTTTAGGTCCTGAAGCTCAATTTTCGTCCGTTTCCAAGAAAAAGAAAGCAGACGGGTGGTCTGGAACACCCGGTGTATAAAAGAGCTATAGGACTTATGCTAAAAAAGAGGGAAGAGATCAAATTTCCGAATTGTTTACATGAGAATCAGCAGTAACTTACCTGTAAATTTACAGTTTCAGGCTTTGAAAATTCTTTATGTTCATTTATTTCAAAAATGTGTTCTAACCGCAGAAGAACTGTGTCATCTCCCCAGTGTTCTAGTGTTAAAATATGAATATTCTTTGGTAAAGCTGCTTCGACCAATGAAAACTGAAAAAGAGAGAAGATTGAATGAAGTCTCACAAATACAAAACTAATGATGACAATAATGATAAGTCTTCAAATTCTGTGAAAGTAATTGAGTGACACAAATCTGAAAAATCCTTAACTTTCAGAAAAAAATGTGCGATTATAGAAAATCGTGATTAAATTTCTGCTTAGTGAATGCCAATTTTTGGTAATATCATTGCTGCAAAAATTGTAGTTAGGTACCCGAAATAAAATCTCAATTTTATGGCAAGTAAATGGCACTCTAATCCATTGACTATTTTGATGGCAATCAAATCGTAATTTGATTTAAATAATTTGTAGCTTTTGTGTTGAAAAATGCTACTTGAGTAGTATTCCTATGATCAGTTACACACAAACTGACATAGAAGTAAGCATGTGAGGGAAAATGGCTGATAAGTAATAAAATAAGCTAACGAAAAAACTGTTTTCAACAATTTCAATCTATATGTAAAAATAACAAGTAATTTTCACAACACCAGCTAAAATGAATACTTACACTCAAACGATTCTTTTCTAGATATTCCTGGAATGTTGAGGGTCCTTTGGCAAAGGCTAATATTGGGCTGTAAACTGTTTCTAATGTCTTCAGCCTATGCTGCTTGACAGCTTCCTGCCGATCTGTATTATACTGAACTATGTGACAACCACGCACAATGAGACCTTCATCAAAAGCAGATTCGTCAAGAGGTTCCGAAACACCTTTCATATCATCATACACCAGTCTTCGATGCAACTGGAATCAATCAATGTAAATTAGATGAGTTTAATCATAGAGAAATCAGTAAAAGATTTGCTACACTTAAATTATGTCTTTCCTGGTATAGTCGCTTTGACGCTTAACTTTTGTTATTTTGCACTTTAAAGATCTAGATTCAACACAAAAAAGTTATTGCGATACTCATTCCTAGAGTTGAAACTTAATTTGAAAAAACTTGCAGATTCCCTGACATACCTAAAGCAAAAGTTTAGATACAATTCTATTTTTGACAAAGGACCACGGACCAAGTTTCACTCCTTCTAATTTATTTTTAATCATCTAAAATCCCTTTAATCCTGATGCCTCAAAAATCCTTTGATTTCAATCAAGTTAATTTGTTAGGGTGCATTCAACACCAAAAACTTAAGGCAATACATATGACAGCTTTAGTTGTGTAAAATCACAGTAAATTACGTAGATCTAATACCTAGATTTTTTTGTCCCTACCAGAAAAAATTACACATGACTTCTAAATTTTGTACTGAATGATAAACAAGAATTTACTTAATAATTTACATGCCGTATCACCCAAGAATTTTTATTCATGCCCTCAACTTGCATGGGCGTAACTATGGGAGTCCCAAATCCCCCCCCCCCATTCCTTCCAGGAAAGATGTCATCATGTGTAGTCATTCAACACCAATGAGGGGTAAAAAAGCTCTTGGCCCTTCCCATAAAATTTTTCTGGCTACACTTGTGTCAACTTGGTGCTTCGTGATTCTTACCATAATTTCAATTTCACCATCATGGAGACTAGTTCCACCTTCTGCTCGATCAGTGATGACTGTTAAAGTAGCTGTGTCATTCAATTCATCTCGGATTTGAATTGCAGATGTCAAAGGGTAGTAGTTCCCAGCGACAGGCTCATGCACAGTCATATTCCAGGATGATCGGTAATTCAAAATGCGTTTCACCCACCGCCGACCATTGGAGTCTGTGTAGAAAGTTTTATTTGAGGGTATGTCTGTTGTGTATCTTGTAATAATTTCTTTACCATTCCAGTCACTGGAAAAATAAAAATAGGACGTATTTGACACTGAGAAATAAATTTGTAGTCGTAGGGTTAAAAAAAAGGTGTTAACTGGTGCTTGAACGCACAATCCTATGTTAAAGGACAAGTTCAGACCACTAGGTAAGCCACCTTTCATGACTGTTTTTTCCCATAGGAATAAGTCTTTCAAAGCCCTTGTGAAAATTAAATGCAACCAAAAGCAATCTGGAGGGGTATTAAAGAGTTCAGGTGCTTTTTTTCTGATTTAAAAAGCATTTGTTTGATGGCTGTGTTGACTTTATTTTTTAAGAAAATTGCATTAAAATCAGAAAATTTTACTTCCTGTAAGTACTTAAGGTACTACTTACTTTAGATGGTCTTTTATATTTTGTCACTCTCTAACTACTTTGTTGTGAAGTTTTATAGCTGCATTAATGCTTTTCAGGTAAAATTCAATGTTTCCTGAGAGAGACCATTCTCTTTCAGACTTTATGTTTGGTACATGAAATTGAAAACTTCTATTGGCTCACAGCTTTTGAAGGATATACTTTTTCACAAGAGAATTATGAACACTAGGCTAAGGGCTGAAAATCAAGTTTTTTGAACTTACGGTACAGGTACAGGCCCAATTAACCAACAAAATTCTAGCTCCGACGATCCGCTGAAAATTCGAATCACTTGACTCATCCATGGGTTGAATGCTTGATGAACTTCTGTGACTTGTTTACCTGAAAATTTGAAAAAACAAAAATACATATGATGTCTTTTGTTTATTTAACTGAATCTAATATTTGTAAAATTTGATCACTGGTATCCTCTGGTCACTGATTCCTTACTAAATATTTTATCCAGCTTAATAACTGAAAATAAATTATTGGTTCTGATTTCAGCGAAAAACAAAATCGTCTGTGGCTCAATCTTGAACATTATGCAGGAGCTTTGAACTTACCTTTGTGGACTGTTATATTAGCCGTTAGATTTGAGATCGGGATCTGTTTAGCGGGCCTGAAGATGTATGCTCCACTGGCTCTATTGTCTGGGTTGTAATTGTAACCTTTGCAAGCTTCATAGTAATGAAAACTTTGCATCAGGTCTACTTTTGTTCCATTGAAATTAACATGTTGAAGTAATCCTGTTGTTGCATTGAACTCCAATTCCGTCTCCTGTTGTACAAAATGAATGATGTTCTCAGATTTAGTACAAAATAAATAATGAGGACTGAAGTTCACAGGAGAAGACCTCACATATTCAAGTAAAAATCAAAACTTCCACAACGAACTGTGCGAAATACTGCAAAAATGGTGCCTTGCAGAAAGTTGGCACAATGATGACTTTTGATCAGCATCCAAAAACGAATTTAATGGAATAAAAAAATTGAAAATTGATTGTGGTGCACATCTCCATAAGAAGTATGCGGAATCCTTTGTCAAAAGCTTCTGTTCATTAGTTTTTTCATAAAAAAATTGGACAAGATTGAGGAATTAGACAACAAAAAGCGCTTGTGATAATTAATTTAGCCAGAAGGTGACACCATTTACTTGCAAACTAAAATTTATAAAATAATGTAAACATTATCTCGAACAAACAAAAAGTTGAAACTTTCAGTTGATGGAATGTCAAAAAAATATGTTATGGGATGTGTCTAAATTTGTTTTTCCAGTTTTGGAACAAAAATAAAAATGCATCATACTAATAAGTTATGAGGCAACGCTTATTTCATAGATTGTATTCGAGCTGAACAAAAGTGTAACTCACATCATGTTTAACTTTCAGGTTTTCGGTTGAGTTATACTGCGCAGGATAATCGGGTGCCTTCAGTTGTGAAAGTCGTTCAACGAAAAAGGAGCTCAACCCTAAAGGAGGGATGTCTTTTGCTGTGAAAACAAGAGAGTGTGTTGGGTGTTGTGTTCCAACAAGGGATGCTATTTGGCGAAGAAACACAGGTGTGGTCAGGACTGGTTTGGCGATGGCAACAAGTTCACTGGGTATTTCAGCACCTGAAATTCGAACATTGGTACATTCATCATTGCTGGATACAGATTCGAATTTGAAAATTGTGACCGGATCTGTGAAAAGGGACCTAATCTTCCAGGATGTTGACTTTTTGCAAATACTTAAACTATGTTTTTCTACAACCTAGGAATTTCTGTTTTGGAACTACAGGACTGACATCTCTTTCAATTTTTGAGATTTTAGGATCAAACTTGCACCAAAATTTCCAGATTTTCCTCCTCCATGCATTTACAAAAAGTTGAGTAAAACAATCTGCTGGATGATAAGGTCTCTTTTCACAAATCTGATCACATTTCTCCTTTCATACACTTGTGATAGTAATTGAACATCTTGGAGGCATCCATCATGCAGGTCTATACTGTCTGTGCAAAATTACATCATGCTCTTCTGGATTCCCTTTTCTTGTAGGTATGAAAATGTCACTTGTTGTAGAAAATTTTACTAGTACTACCAAAAACATTTCAAAAGATGGGAACTTTATACAATTTCAGGTGACATCACATAATACTAATCCTTCTTTCTTTCCTCGCAATGGTCACGCCACAAACTTGTCACAAGAGCTCCGACGACACACCTCCACTTATTCACGAAGACATAATTTATGAATAGCCCTTAAGAGTAGAATTTGACTACAACTGACATGGAACTTTGAGTGCAAAAGTAAAATAATAATTACCGGTGAGTCCAGTGACTTTATATTGACCATATGAGACAGGAAGATACACAACTGTGTCCATAGGATGAGATAAAGAATTATATGCTGTCATGATGAATCGGGCATTGCTTTCAGTTACCTCACAACGACTGATGTTCAGATTTCCACAATACACTTGGACTGGTAGGTCAGAACCCAATCTCTTTCTGAAAATAAATGAGAGATTTTCTTTTAGTAAAACTGTGTGTGCAAAAATCGTCAATTTAAAATTAATCTTTTAGAGACGGAATTTCATTTCCTCGTTGCAAACTAATCAAGCAAGTAAATACCTCATGAGTACATAATAACTATATACGTGTAAATATACAAAAATAAAAGCTTTCACATTTTAGACAGACTGACATTCAAGTTTGCAAATTTTTGTGTCATGGAATTTAACACAAAAAATCTAAACTAAAAGTTCTGAACTTTGGAAACGTTTCACAACGTTTTTCTAAGAACTTCAAAAAGTGATGGAGGAATGAATGACTGGACATGTCTGCACTAGAAAAAAAATGTCACATGTCTTTTCTTCAAAATCTTATGCAGAAAACGATTCACACGATAGGAGGTTCAGAAATTGATTCCTGAATTTGATATTGACAAAAATTCTTAACATAGCTCAGATAAAAGTTAGATCATACAAATGAAATCATTTGTACTTTTGCCATTTGACTAATGTTAATTGTAAATACACATATCCTGTTTAGAAATTGATTCCTAGGCCTTTCGCTGTGTGATTTACTCTCCCCGTGAAATTTTGAAGAGGTAAGATGTTCCGTAGTGCTGTAATTCATACCTTGTCTATGGGCCCATTGCTTTCTTCATACCTTAAAGGAGGTAGTTTCACTTCTAACAGAGACAGATAGGTAATAGTACTTTAGCATTCATATGTTATGAGAGAAAACTACGAACGATTGGTATGATTGTTTACAATACAATACGAGGTATTCTCTTGAGGCTTAAAAAGAAAAATTTTTTTAGTTTAAAGAAACAAACCCTCTACAAACGGTTGATTGCGTATAATATTCATTGTATTGAAGGTAACTAAAACAAAAAAGAGCGAAAATACCATGGTCTATCAATTCAATCATAACAACCTATAGGCATGTGTAAGAAGTCTTGTCAATGCTTGAACACCTTCATTGAGATATAGCGAGTAATCATCGGCAACATGTTGCTTTTCGGTTCCAGAAACTCCATCGTGGTGTTGCGTGATAGCAACAGCTCTTTGACTTAGCTCAAGGTCGTCCAACAATTCTTGAGACTTTATTATCCCTGCAGTCAACTGTTTGACAGCCTGTGAAACAAATTCAGTATCATTTGAGTGAACCATACTGGACCATTCCTTCAATTGTGATTGTTCACAGGATAGTGGATTTGGTTGCAAAAAAACTTAAACTTAAACATACATTCATGTTACTATACTTTTCCCAGAAAAATCCGCTGAAGTATAATTTTTAAGGTACTGGACAAAAAGGTATAACTATCCAGCCAAGCTTGGGGAAATTCTAACTGAGGATATTTCATTCTAAAAGATTTTAAGCATTGCAGAGACAGGATGTACCTATGAATCAGTGCTCGGTAAATACATCACATAAGGGAAGAGGACAAAAATGCAACACGGAATCGTTTCCAAGTTGACACTTCTCGTTTTCCTTGTTGAGCTCCCAGTCTTACAATGTTCAGGCTATTCATAAACATGAGTGAATTGTTCACTTCCAAACTTAATTTTTCATTTGGAATTTTTAAAATTTTGGAGAAGAAAATTGCCTCCTTGTCATTTCTTTACAAGATTGCCCTTAAGGAAAAAAGGTGAATTTATTAGGCAAGTTTTAATGCAAGCTCAACAACCCATAGGAAATAAAATTGGCCTCTAATTGCTGCATGCAACTGAAACTTCCCGTGAATTTCTCATTTTAACCTTCATTACCCAGACTGCGAAGTCAAAAAAGTATAATATGTACTGTTTCTATCATTAGGTCTATAGATATTAAAGCGTTTCAGATTATAAACCAGCCACTTCTGATGCTTTATTTCTTCTTCCTTTTTCTCTTTCTATTATTCTAGATTCTTCTTGTTTCCCTGGTGAAGCAGTCTGTCGATATCTATTCAGCAGCTGCTCAAAGAAATGAGCTCACCGTGACTATTATAAGCCCTTCTTCCGCAAACCTTCTCAAAAACTTATATTTACGAAGTCAAACTCACAAAAAATGTGAAAATATTTAAAGGAAAGTAACCTGCAAGAAAGCATTAGCCTTCTCTACAAAGTATTTGAGGGCGGGCCGAGATGTGTAGTAACCAGTCCAATAAGAGTGCTGATCAGAACCGTACGGGAAAAAGTCATCGTTGTCCTTGAGAGGCAATGAAATATTTGAATTATGAATTGCCTCAAGATAGCAGGCTGGCGTAGAGTAAATAACATTTATACGGTCACCATCTCTCTTGTTGATGTATCTAAACAAAACATAAATTAATTATAATAACTGCAATGAACTGAAATAAAAAAGTGAAGTTTTCTGACTAGGGAAAGGATTCACCAATTTTAGAGTATTTTTTTCATGATTAGTAATATTAATATTTTTTAAAAAAAAGAACAGCTTGTTGGGAAACAGTCATAAGACAATGAATTATGGACCAATTATTTTACTTCTGCCTTTGTCAACTGGAAAAAAGAAGGCTAATGGTAAGTAGAGTCCCTTTATACCCAGAGTTAAGACAACTCACTTTTGGTTCGGCTGAAAGTGGCCTAAAAAAAAATCCAATTCTGATTGGTTCTCGCTCATGGAGGCCGAAACGAGTGCACCAAGATGGCGGTACCTCGAATATGAACAAGAATAATGAAAATATCACCTAATTGTGGTTTATCAAGAGTAAATTGTCATTTCCATCGGTCCAAAATGAAAATAGATTAAGAAATTATTCACAAACCAATCTCATTTTCTTTTTAATTGATCAATTTGTTGATGTTGTTGTTTTTGTGTGACAGACATCGCAGGATTTCTGATCCTTATCCCTCAATATCGTTCGTTTGGGTGCACTCGTTTCGGCCTCCATGGCCAGCCAAGGCCGGCTGCCAGTCAGCTGATAATCGAGTTGTCTTAACTCTGGGTATAAAGGGACTCTAATGGTAAGCTGAAATGAAGTTATGCGATTGGTCAGTTTCGTTAGATCTTTATTTTGTTGTGCTGATGACCGGTCGAATCAATCACAAGCTAAAGGCATCTCTTGAGTTGCCAATAGCTCGTCAATAATACCACCAAACAGGCATGATAAAGAAGGACAACTGATGAGTCCATTAATCTTGTAACTCCATTCCACTTTGATTTTGTCTTGTCGAGTCGACTAACACAAAATTTCAACGATGAGCCCTAGTAACTGATCTTGGCAATGATGGTATACTAATGGTAACTTAAAACTTTTGAACCACTGTGACAGTTCATGGCTGTGTCGCACTTAGAAAAAATGCCTTCCTGTTAGATTACTGTTCCCTTTGAGGAGAGAATACACTTTGAAAGTAAGATGATCTTATTAAGGATGAAATACTTATCTAAGATTCCGAAAGAAAATGCTTGAGCACTACCTTAGTTAGTTTGGTCACCACAGTACTAGTCTCACAATATAATGACTAAATTTTAATTTAAGAATCAGACAAGACAAATTGAGGTGAGATAATTAGGCTGAAAACAAATTTAACAACTAACAAAAATATAACATTGTGATATATACTTAATGAGCTTATCCATATTTTTAAACCAAGGCGAAGCAGATATATAATTGAAATCACCTCCCATGGTGACTAAGATATTGTTCGTTCTATAGGCATGACTGTAAGCATCGATGTGCTTGATAAACTGGTTTATCTACAAAAGAAAAAACACACAAATTCATTAAAAGATTACAGAGTAAGAAGTCATGGAAAATTGGAAATAATTGCATCTAAAAACCGGACGCTTATTTTGGAGTACAAGAAGCTAGTTCATCTTTCTTTTATTAACAATTTTGGCATATGACAAAAATCAACTTCACTCGTAAGAAAATATGTTAGGGTGATTCATATTGTAGGTTCTTGGCAAAGTGGAACCGGAGTGCAAGGCAAAAAAAGTTATATTCCATACATTAATCGATTTCTGTATCCGATACATAAAATATTTTTTCCAAGAGGATCCCTGCTTTCATTTCTCTAGATTTTGCAATTTTTTTTTGGTTGAGAATGATTTTTAAGGCTCATGCGCAGAAGCTATTGTCCTTTTTTGTCTTAAAAGTCAGAAATCAGCTGAGATTTTGTACTTTGACAATGTGATTTACTGTTCACCAGTTCCACCACACCAAGAACTTGGGACGAATCACCTAAAGAGCATTAAGAATATTTTATGTATGAAAAAAGATTTCATATTACATTCTCACAGTTTGTCTTGTTACTTAAGTAAAAAAATTATTAATGGATAATCTTTGGATTTTTCCGACGAATTTTAATTATCTCTGTATTGATGTCAAACAAGTAAAGAAACTTGTGCGCAGACTCTAAAGTTATGCGGTGTAACTTTTACTTACTGTGAGAAAACTGTGTGCAATTTATACATTACCCATAAATCTTGTCATCAATAAATAATATTAATTCAGAGGAGATTTAAGTAACTTTCACAGCTTATTGCCTCCAAAAAAATACTTACAGATACTTTGCTACCGTTGTGATAACCATTTTCATAAGCAATAGGACTTCAATTTGAGCAAAAAATGGTAGCACATAAATCACAATCATTCGATATAGGAAAGAACTCAACAAGTATAAAATTAACAAAGGGCATACTTTTGCATCAACATTATATCCATGAAGCTTAGGGTTATCCATGATAGGTTCATCATCACAGTAGGTATCCCAACAAAAGCCTGGAGGTGGCTGGTATAAATTGAACAAAATTCCAGTGAACAGTTCACCTTCTTCACCTGAAAAAAAGGAAGCACAATAAAAAATGAATTGTAGGTATAGTGGTAGTGGGTAGGCTGTGCAGCGGTGTGAATGCAATGGAATGATTTACCCATCAAAAAAAAAAAAAAAAAAAAAAAAAAACTATTCGCAACTTTTTGGTTCACTTTTAAGACCTCAATTTTTATAGTTAAACCGAGAAGGTTTGGTCTTAAAATTTCTTCTAATTTAGATGTAAGAATTATACACTTGGATAGAAATTCAAGCACACAATCTGGTTAGGAATAAAAAAATTTCGGATGCTCATCATCCCTCTCAAAGCAACGTTTTTGCCTCAGGGATGAATTATTTCAGATTTGCATCACAGAAAAAGTCCAATTTCAAATCAAATGCAAAGTTTGTCTCACTTATTTAGAAAAGGATAAGGAGATAAAAAATAGCTATCACTTTCTTTCACTCAAGATTTCAAAAGTGCAATTTAACGTTTTCAAATTTGTGTGCTGTTTCTTTGACTAAAAGTAATAAGTTTCGTACTCTTGGGATTAGATCTTTGAAACTCAAAATAATATTGCAGTTTCAAGAATTTTTAAAGCTACTTCAATGAAGCCACAACAGTGATTTTCAGATTTGCACGCATTTTAACACGCAGTAGGTACTTGCCTACGAGCACTCACTTTGCAAGTATATGCGCATTTTATAAAAAAATTAACAATGTGCTTATATACCTGCCAACGGAGGTTCGGTGCGTTTTTACTCGGATAAATGTAAGCGACCATTCAAGTATTACGAGACACTTTTTTCGATTTTTGACACCCCCTCCGGCCCTCCTCCTTGTAACCCACCCATAACGCAGCCCTACGCCTCTCCTTCTTGGATTACAAAACACTGGCCTGACCCCCCCCCCCCCCGCCCCAAATTTAAAAAAATCAAAAAAACGCTGAGAAAACAGCGCGAAAAAAATACGCGCGTGTTGTGTTGGCCGGGTCACGCACCGAAAAGATTCCTTCGGGAAAGGCAAGATTTTCAATTTCTTGCACTTTTTTCCCCCGGCTCAGATTTGTTACGAACCGATGGGCTTGAACCCCCCTCCCCCTTGTAACGCACCGTAACGCTGGTTCAACCCCCCCCCCTCAAGTGCGTTACGTAATACTAACACTGCCATTCTAAGGAAGAACGCCGTATGAACATTCGATAGTTGCCAAATTTCCTTAGATAAAATGTTCATTTTTGCGGGAAATTATGAATATTTTTCCTTGCAATTTTCAGACACTTTAGATCGAATTCCAAACAAAATTTTCTGAGAAATTGGGAGAAAAGTATTCCACAATTTTCCTGAAAATTAGTGATTTGCCAGAGGAAATTTGGCAACGCCTGAAGGCTCATACGGCGTTTTTCCTTAGCACGGCAGAACAGCCCCTAATCAAGGGCGCAATGGCGTGGCGTGCTTTGCGATATATCGATTGATCGGTCATTTAAACCCATGGAAAAGTATCGACAAAAAGGGTGTTCGCAGCGAACACCTTAATAATCGATTATTATTTGCCACAGCTTCAAATGGGGATATATCAATATATCGCAAAGCACGCCACGACACTGCAAGGGTGAGACACTCTTCCCAATATTATAGGGGTTCAAAACACTATCCACGAACCTGTGGATGTATCTGGTCGCCACATCATTTCCATTTCTCTTCTACCCTCTCGGGTTTCGAAGTCTTGTTGATCGATGCGGCCGAAGAACACACCATTGTATCCCATGGCTGCAAATTGAAGTGCAACTTCACTTGAATGCCCGAATGGGTCGATTTGCCATGCTACTCTCGGCCTGCCGCATTCGCCAAAAGTCTCATTGAGAAATCTGGAAAAAGAAAAACCAGTCAGTAATGGGAAATAGAAAAGAGGACTGAACACTAAACCTAGAGGAAGAGGGTCTTCCTACATGAATGCAGAAGTTTCAAGGTACCTTCATATTATGACCCCTGTTGAAGTTTCATTTCAGGTCAACTGCAGGGGCGTTCAGAAACTTCATGATCCTGATCCAGCGATGCGATCATGAGCGCGTGGCCGCTTGCATGAAAAAATGGGAAGGCCAGCACGCAGCAGCATCTAAATCGCGTCAGGGCCGGATTAAGGGGGTGGCCACATGGGCCGCGGCCCATGGCGGCAAATCTAGGGGGCGGCAAATTTTGCAATTTTTTTAAATGTAGGTATAAAAAAATAATCTGATTTAGAAATAAAAAATTACAAACGAGAAAATGCGACAAAATCTCTCATTTCCTGAGAGTATAGTAATTTCTAATTTTGTCGCCTTTCAGTGATGCAAGAGACAGCACCTTTAATTAGTCGAGTTAAGAGAGAAACCAAACACACAATTTGGCCTGGAACGGCGCGACTTAGGGAGAAATGATGACGAGGACTTGAGATGAAAAGGAGAAGCCCTCGGCGCGGCAATCGGCATGTAAAACATATTAGCGCCTACAAGACTGCACGAATACTTCACGCATTGCATCAAACACAGTGCGGTTATTGTGGTCAGCGTGAAACGGATAGCGCCTACAAGAATGCATGAATACTTCACGCATTGCGCCAAACACAGTGCGGTCAGCGTGAAACGCATAGCGCCTACAGGACTGCGTAAATACTTCACGCATTGCGCCAAACACGGTGCGGTCGGCGCGGCACGGCGGCGGAAGTTAAAATCATTAAACCAAATTTTGTGTTTGTTCTCTCATAATTCTTTCGTTCATTTCTCATGAATGGAAGGCCTTGTCCATTAGAGCTAGGTTTACGAAACTTGACTTTCGCGCAGTTCCGTGACCTTTTGCTAGTAGTGTTGACAGGGCTTTCCCCAAAAATGTGTTCAACACGAGAAAACGCGTCTTATGCGCCCCTCCCCCGCTGGTACGTTCACTTGATTGTTTTTGTTGATGTTTCAAAACGGATGGTAAGGGGGCGACAAAATACAGGCGGCCCATGGGCGGCAAGTAGGAAAATCCGGCCATGACTACCGTGTTTTTTTTTTTTTTTTTTTTTTTTTTTTTTCCCCCAAAAATCGCGGTGAAGTTCGCATTTTTTTTTGCAAAATTGCGGAAAAATTCGCGCGTTTTCGGAAAAATCGCGGCAATACGTGAAATAAGGACCGTAAAAGTCAACAGCTTGAAAAATTTTGGAAAAAGGGGGGCTTTTTGGAATGGGAAGGCCAGTTTGAAAAATGGGAGGGCTATGTAAGAACTTTCTGCACCATTCAACCGTGGCAGAGCTATTAGTTTTCGAATCAAATTACAAGGCCTGAATAATTTTCCCTAACATTTTTCTTCTATTTTTTATTTTATTTTATTTTTTTATTGTATTTTTATTTTTCATTTAATTTTTTTAATTTCATTTTATTTTTTATACAATTTGCTTATTTTTTTTTTTTTTTTTTGCTGGAAAGTGGCTAAGGAAGTCTGCCAGGAGATATAGGACACGCAGGTGTCACGGAATGGTCATGAAAAATGTGACTTACTTGAGTCCAAACGTCATTTGATCTATCATTGAGGAATAGTGTGGAGAGGCTTCATCACTCATGCACCATCCACCGTGCAAAAGTTGTAATCTGCCTTCTTCTACCAGCATACGCACATCTGCACGGCTCTCTTCATTCTGCTCTAGCCACCATCGCCACAAAAATGATGTCTCGACATAGACAAACCTACAAAGGCAATTAAACAAAACAGCATTAATAAGTATATTTTCCATGAGAAGAATAAATACATACACAACCTATAATACATACAGACCGACAGTGTTCTTAAAATAAGTTTAGGTATCCAAGAGCGAGAGCGTATTTTTAAATTAAAATTTCATAATATAACGCCGAATTTTGACACTCTGCTAATAGTGTGGTATCATGCTTAATTGTAGGCGAAATCCAGAGAGATAGACTTGATCCATTTATTTTACAAAATATTTCGTCATTTCGATTTCAGTTGGACAGATTTAACGAAATCAATTTGATTTCATCAGGTGCTGCTCAATCTTTTTCTCAGTTTTTAAGTTTTAAACCGAAAATAAAGTATCCTTCTGTCTTGAAATGTTATGAATACAATTTTTATGATCCATGGAAAATTCGTAGTAAATTTCAAAATTTTAGGCTGTTTAGTTTTATGCCAAAAAGATGAGATAAAAGAGAAAACTTGAAATGCAGTTGGGTCAAATCCAGAGTTCGAAACTCATCTTTGAGTTTTTAGGAGCCATGTGGCGCATCAAGCCAGATTTTTAGGCGCCATTGAAGATTTTTTAGGGGCCAAATTGACTTTTTGCCTATATATTACGGCACATTTAGTGAAAAATTAAACGCAAGATGTTTCCGTGACAGAACTGGTAAGTAGCTGTAACTTGGGGAAGACAAAAGCATTGAGGATGAAATCGTGAAGAATAGAAAAAGCTTTCACTTGTAGTGCTGAAAATTTCGAATAATCGCCTACTATTAAAATTCAGATATTTAGGGGCAATTTTTAGGGGCCACGTTGGCGCAGAGCCTTCATTTTTTAGGCGCTATGGCCGATTTTTTAGGCACATTTGGTGCGTTGGCGCCTGTGAGTTTCGAACACTGGTCAAATCCGTGAAAATATTTACACTATTAAATCAAAACAAATCGGAATGAGCCGACCACGGGAGCGAGAGGAGTCATGCCTCCGTAAACAAAAGCGGCGAACATCATAAACAAATTCTTGGAAACAGTAATCTCTTCTTCCGGTCGAGTATAACAATTTTATTGAGCGCAAAAAAACGAGTTCCACAGAAATACGGTCCCCCGTTTTCCCGAATGGAACCGGTTGCACATGACATCCGCTCTTCGCGCCTCAATTCTTTCAATTGGCAATAGAGCAGATAACGCGACATGAGTCACTTTTTTATTATCAATCCTTGATAGGTATGACCTACGACCTTTTTTCGCGCTGGAGCTCTCCGCTTCCGAAAAATGCACGATTCCGGATCGGACCCCCGACGTTTCGTAATGGATCGCCCTTCTGCCCGGGCGATTCGCGGGAGGCTGGGTCAAAAATCACCGGATAAGCGCATTCTGCGAATTCCGAAGCTTTTTTTTTGTGAGTTTGCATTGGATACACCCACATAACCTCCCTTCCCCTCTTCGCTGTTCGTTGCTGATATCTCGTTCGCCGGAACCGAAGCAGTTCCCGGTACTACGTCGAGGGATTTTCCACGTGTGCTGGCTCCCTTGAACGCACGTACATTTGGACCGCGTTATACAGAAAGGAACCAAGCCAAATTTAATTTGGCAATTCAATTTTTTACATGAAAACGGATGTGCGGATTTTCGTGCAAATTTCAGCGAATTTTCTCCTTAGTACGAAGCAAATTCCTTAAAATTTTACAACGAATCCTTAGAAACGTTCTCTCGTAAAAAATTAAATTGCCCACTTAAATTTCGCAATAGCTGATGTGGCTTGGTTCCTTTCTGTTAAACGCGGTCCATTTCTGTGGTGCTGAGGAAAAACGCCGTATGAACATTCGATAGTTGCCAAATTTCCCCAGATTAGTCATGTATTTTTTAGGAGAGTTAATCATATTTTTCCTCAAAAGTTGCAGGTGTTTTAGATCAAATTGCGTGCAAAATCGTCTGAAAAATTTGAAGCAATACATTAAAAAAATTTCCAGTAAATCGGTTTTTTACTGGGGGAATCTGGCAACGCCTGAAGGCTCATACGACGTTTTGCCTTAGAACGGCAGATTTGCCGCGGAGACTTGAACGTTCGGCGATTTTTCTACTAGAAAAATGACGATTTTTTTATTGCCGGACATTTTCTTAGAAATACGGAGTGAAGTTATCAACCCTTTTCATTCGTTGGCGCATCGTTGGAGGATTAATTAGGTCGCTACTGGACTGGATTTTTATTTGAAGTGCTTGGAAGACAAGGCGCTTAAGTGCAGTTTTTGCTTCGAGAAATACGTGTTTGAAGTTTCGAAAAACTGGAAAAAAAACACAATGGATCTAGAGTCCAGACTCTTGAAAACATTGACAAGAAAATGGACACTTGATTCAATCAGATTTAAGCTTAAATCAAAAGGAAATCCGCTCAAATTAAGAGGCTTGGTTCTTGATTTAAGCTTAAATCTGATTGTATCAAGAGTATTTTTTCTTGTCGATGTTTTAAAGAGTCTGGACTCTAGATGCAATGTGTTTTTTTCCAGTGAATTACATGGATCCTTATGGCGGAAAGAAAGTTCAAACTGACTTTTTGATGCTTAAAAATTGGAATTTAGGAGCAAATTTTTTGCAGAGTATGCATCCAGATTAGTTTGACTTAAAATCATTAACGCCTCGATTTTTTCAAAAATTGTACTTATGCGCCTTGTCCTTCAAGTCCCTTATTTGATGAATTGCACCAACAACTACACCTTGTTACAAGCAACTTGCTCCTAAGTTGCTGACATTGCCTACTAGCTTATTGAAGGCGAATTGGTGAGAATGAGCGCAGTGGCGTGGCGTGCTTTGCGATATATAGATTGATACGCCACTCAAACCTATGAAAGAAGATCGATTATCAGGGTGTTTGCAGAGAACACCTAAGTAATCGATTATTTACCATAGTTTCAAACGGCAGGATATCGATAATCGATCATTCACTCCACGCCACTGAATGAGCGCAACGACACGTAATGCGAAACTAGAACTGAACGGTGTATTTGAAGAGAGGCGTAACCGCCACACGAATTTCTAAAAGGTGGTGAAAAGGAGCTGTTGCAGGCAAACTGAATCAAAGGCGGACTGCGGCACGAATTAGCACAATGTTTCATGGTGTGCGACAAGAACTGAGATAGATGAAGTACTCAGACTGTTGCGAGCAACTATTACTGCTCCTGAGCCACACACATTGCCTACCGGCTTATTGAAGGCGAACTGGTGAGAGTGCATGAGCGCAATGTCTCTTAATGAACTAGAACTGGGCGGCCTATTTGAAGAGAGGCGTATGCGTGACCGCTAAAAGCCAATTTCTGAAAGGTGGAAAAGAACCTTTCGCTTTTATTTTGGCGATAAACTAAAAGCGAAAATCAAGATTACGGGTGATCCACTGGAAAAAAAAAAAAAAAAAAAAAAAAAAAAAAAAAAAAAAAAAAACACATTGGATCTAGATTCCAGACTCTTAAAAACATCAACAAAAAAAAATACTCTTGATTCGATAAGATTTAAGCTTAAATCAAGAACCAACCCTCTTAATTTGAGCGGATTTCCTTTTGATTTACGCTTAAATCTGATTGAATCAAGAGTCCTTTTCCTTGTCAATGTTTTCAAGAGTCTGGACTCGAGATCTAATGTGTTTTTCTTCTAGTGTCCATTCCACTTCTAAAGTATGTTGACTTATTTTTGACTTTGACTCCTGACATGTGATACACGTTATTATCGTTTAAGAAACTTTGAAGTGAGTAACTTCGAGTGTGAGTATCGGAGTTACTGATCTTTCCATGTACTCACTTTCAAAGTTTCTCACTTATTTCGTGCTTGGAATCAGGTGGTTTCTGATCCTAAGTACGAAATGAGTTAGAAACCTCGAGACCATTATTGCTCCTCATCTGAATGGAGATGTTGCATGTGCGAGGAATTTGCGATTAGACTGGTAATTCTAATGTTTAAGTTTGCGAGAAACACGATGGTGCCACTGATTTTCTCTCAGATCAACTCCCAAGCTCAAAAAAAGCTCTCAAGTTGAAGCCAAAATGGAGGGAATATCCCACGCTCTCCTGAGAGTCCACCTCTACATTAAGACAAACTCTCCATGCAAAGATAGGGAGCAAATACACTAGCAGTGATGCCGTGTTCTCACTTTTAGAGTCTCCAAGTAAAGTGGCAGCCCTGTCAATGTATTTGCTCCCAATTTTTGCATGGAGAGTTCGTCTTGATGTAGAGGTGGACTCTCAGGATAGCGTGAGATATCCCCTCCATTTTGGCCTCAACGTGAGAGCTTTTTTTGAGCTTGGGAGTTGATTTCAGAGAAAACCAGTTGCACCATCGTGTTTCTCGCGAACTTTTACGTAAGTTTCAACAGTCAAATCGCAAATTCCTCACACATGCAACATCTCCATTAATGATATAACTCCGATGACTTCAACCAATGGCAGTGCGCTTAGTTTTCGCGCCTAATCCATTGCGCACAGCCTGCGCGCAGCAAGCGGGGATTTCGAGCGATAGAGCGCGGAATACGAAATGACGCGCCACTAAATGAGCGCGCGGAGAAGGATAGAACTTACAATTAGTTCAAAATGGGCGGAACGGCTCAAGTTTGCCGCATGCTGCAACACAACAATATTAAACCTGGTTGGCTTTGACGTGATCGTTTAAAATGCGATACGACTTGCATTGTACTGCTCGGATGACCGAACGTGCAATTAACTGCAATTAAGTGTAATTCAATTAGCGCAACGTCAACGCTAAAGTACAAAAGTTGAAAAAAAAATTGAACTCTTAATTAAGTGGAGCTGCAAAAACTTAACGCATTGTTTTGTTCGACGCCTGACACCTGTTTCGCGTGTCGCGCTATCGTGAGAGTGGAAAAAAAATGAATTCTCTCATATAGAAAAAGAAAGGAGGTGCTTGCATTTCGAGCATTTTGGAATTTTTTGATGTCATAGGTACAGCGACGTTTATCATCGATTTTCTTGGTGTAGGTGTAATTAATGGAAAAAAGTCATTCTATAAAAAGTGCTTGAAATTATATCATGAGTTGATTTAAGCAAAAAAATGGGACATTATGGTCCGTTTTTCATACTTCGAATTCCGGATTTCGCTGGCCAGGTTGTACCGACCTACGTCATAGGGTAAACAAACCTCAAGATGCAAACACCTCCTTTTTTTTTCTCTATGGAATTCTCTTGGGTATTTCAAGAAACAGGAATCAGTCTGAAAAAAACGTGTAGCGAAGCGAGGATGAAACACCCGAACTGATGAAAACGATAGAAACGACAGAGAAGATTTGGAGAAAAAACTAACAGAAAAACTAACCTCCTGTTTTTATCTCGTAGGAGTTCCGATACAACGGAGTCGATGATATACTGCACGCCAGCGGGTGAGTGCCCTTTATTACCTGAAACACGACAAAAAAATCAGACTAATTACATTGCATCGGTAGCGAGACTGGAACATCACGTAAGGATCTCGAAAGCGATGTTTCGAGATGGGTATTTTATTTTTCTACAGAATATTGCATATGACTGACTGATATAGATAAAGAACACTCTTCCAGTACGCTAGAACTGTCAATTTTCCTTTTTTTAGGAACAACATTGAGCAGAATCGCAGAGAAAATTAGAAAATTAAAAGGAAAACAGGATAATTTGGGAATCTACTTTAGTACACATCTAGGGACACCTATAATTTCGGAAAGATGAGGAGAAATCCAATAACATTCAATATTTTATGAGAATTAAACGGCAATGAGTGGCGTAGCCAAAAATTCCTGGATTGGAAAATAGTCACTGCTCACTTTACTTGCTTGTTCTCGCGTCATAGACGACGCGGCGCATGAGGTTAAGAAGTTAATAGAGAATGAAGAGGGCTTGAAGCTCCGACCTCTTTTGATTGGTTTGTGCCCCCATTATTAGTCCGCAAAGCCTATAATGGCTATTCTCCTGCCATGGAAAAAGTTCCAAAGTGTCGCGGATTCTCCCGCTCGCGAAGTTGGGACCAGGAACCTGACTGCCTTACTAAGGAAGAACGCCGTATGAACCTTCAGACGTTGCCAAATTTCCTTTGATAAAAAGCGAATTTCCTGATAAACTTATGAATATTTTCCTCTCAATTTTTCAAATAATTTTGTTCGCAATTTCACCTAAAGATTCTGAAAATTTAAAGGAAAAATATTTATAACTTTCCTCGAAAATGATTATTTTATCGGGGGAAATTTGGCAACTCTCGAATGTTCATACGGCGTTTTTCCTTATAGCACGGAAGCTGAGCCGTGCTGCGATTATAAACTCTTTAGGATTTTCTTGATTAACTTACGTCAACCATTCCTCAACAATAGTTACTAATAGCGCTATTCATCGACGAGTCTACAGTTCGAGATAAAGTAACGCACCGACGATCCGCCATCCGCGCGCTATTTCCGCGTGCGTCTTCGATAACATCGCCTTCAATTTTTCGGCACGCAACACGTGTGTTGCCGAATAGAATCATTCGAGGGGCTTAGAAGACAAGGCACACGAGTTCTTTTAAAAAAAATTGAGATATTAATAATTTCAAGTAAAACTAGTCTTAATACATAATCTGAGAAAAATTCTCTCCCAAATTCCAATTTTTACGCATCAAAAAGTCAGTTTAAACTTTTTTCCGCCATTAGAATCCATGTAATTTCGAAACTTCAAACGCGTATTTCTCGAAGTAGCAAAAACTGCACTTATGTCCCTTGTCCTCTAAGCCCCTAATTTGAGGTTCGTATTATTAATTGGACTAGAATTACTCAAAATAAGTCAATTTTCTGGGATATGACGATGAATAGACTCAATACTACAAAAATTGTACATGATATTGGCAAAAAGCGACACGAATATTTTCCGGAGACTCGCATCTCGAATAGCTCTCACATAGTTCGGCGAATTTTTAATAATTTTTTTTTAGCCGGTCCTCTTCCCGCGCCACACAGTGGATCGAGTCATTCAAAGACGCCGGAAATGAAATTTTTGACTAAAACTACAAATGGACGTATTTATGCTAAAAGGAACTATGTGCATAAGATGTGCGTGAAACATAGTTCCTTTCAGCATAAATAGTCCAAATTTTGATGTTTATTTTGTGACATTTTAAATTTCAAAGGGTGCTAGTAGTAGAAAATTTCACGAGGAAACCAATGAAATCACTTTCAGAACCTCAAAGTTTTGAATAAACGGAGTTATACACGTTTAAAGTTTCCAAATTTTGTTCGACCTCTCCTATGGACTCAGTCCACTGTGCGGCATATAAATATACTTATATACAGGATAAAGCCTGCCTCTGTCACACCACACTGATTACTTCTACTAGATGACGTGTTGTGAAGATGGAGCTAAGTTAGCTAATTAAAAAATAAGGACTTACTGCCGTAATAATATTGGTCGACGGTCTTGAGCCAGCCGACATCATCATGGGTGTGCGGGACAAGATGGACGTTGATCTTATTCGGTGCAACTGGGTGACAATTCTACGAACAGAGACAAAAGACATCGACAAATTAGTGAGACGCACATCATAAATCAGGGATATGAAGGGAAGGCGAATTGAGATACATGGTTGCGAGCAACTGCAAAATCAAGAGGCTACACAGCTGGTCGCTTTAAATTGGCTTCGAGGGTGGTCATCGCGAGAATCATCTTCTCAACGGAAAGAAAAAAGGGGGGATGACATCACATGATGCATTTAGTGGTGAAGATTTAAACTTTTTCACTATTGACAACTCCCAAGTTTCATGAACATCAGTGCTCGAAACTCACATGTGCCAACGCGCCAAATGCGCCTATAAGAAATCGGTCATGGCGACTAAAAAAAGAAGGTTTTGCGCCAACCTGGCCCCTAAAAATTGCCCTCTAAAAATCTGGATTTCCACGGGAAATCACATAAAGAAAGAAAAACAAATCTATTTGAGTTGAAAAAACTCAGAATTTTCAGCCCTACAAGTGAAAGTTTGCTTCTTCTATTCTTCACGATTTCATTCTTAGGGCTTTTGTCTTCCCCAAGTTACAGCTACTTGCTATAGTTCTGTTACGAAAACATCTTGCGTCTAACTTTCCACTAAATGCGCCGTGATATATAGGCAAAAAGTCAATTTGGCCCCTAAAAAATCTTCAATGGCGCCTAAAAATCGGGCTTGATGCGCCACATGGCTCCTAAAACTCAAAGGTGAGTTTCGAACACTGATTCTGAATGAGCATTTCAAACTTGCGCGAATGACAATGCAGTTTTGAAATGATCACGTTAGTTTGGGGAATGCGAAAGGAAAATTACAACGACGCCGAAGATTAAGTAACAAGAAGAAGAAAAACAAGTAAGAAAAACCGGCAAAAAAGACGGAACCAAACACATCCGTTTCCGATATCTTTGAAATTATCTAATCATTCTAATAAAAGAGGTCGATGTATCGGGCTACTTTGTAAATACACTCATTCACATTTCAGACAAGATCGGGGTGAGTGCAGATAATCGGATTGCGGTTGAATTTCTACATACATTCGGAAGAAAACGATTCATCAACGCCCATCATAAGTTATTGACGCATTCGCGATCTAAAAAGTAGGCTGGCCACCTGACGGAATAGGAAATGGAAAAAAATAAGAAAGAATTTTGCAGTGTTGCAAAGTTCAAAGTGATAAAGTAGGAAAAGATTTTGGCCGTATTTTTTTCCCTCAATTTAAAAGCTGATGATTTGAATAAGAAAAACCGATATTCCCAGCCCCTTCAATCTATACCCTCCTCAGAAAAAGTACAATTGAACTGATTTAAACAGGAAGGAACCAAGCCACATCGGGATGGAACCAAGAAAAAGAGGTTTAAAGTTTTGCTCCTGCATAAGACTCAATGTAAAAGATGGACTTCAAGTTCAATTTCTGCAAAATTTGCCCGAACCAAAAACTTTGAATTTTTGGCGATGGATAGTAGAGAAGTGGCTCAGTTCAAAACCACTCATAACTCAATTTTTTCCAAAATGTGGGTTGGTTCCTTTCTGCTCAACTCAGTCCAATTATTGGGGGAAAATTATGAATTTACATTAAGTCATTTTGTTTCAAAAGCTTGTTTCATTTCTTTAAAAGAGCAAAATTACGTAAAATTAATGAGAGAGACTGAAAGGCACGGATAAAATACTGAGAGGAAAAATTAAGATTGAACTGAAAAATTGAAAAACAAGTGCAAGCGCAGGACCGGTATACGCTGTTGAAAAATATACGGAGTAAAATCCGGAATGAAGTTCACTCCGGATTTTTTTCCACTCCGGATTTAACTCCAAAAAAACCACAAGAGGCCATGTTTTCGAGCCAACGTCGAGGAAAATTTTATGAAAGAGCCTAGGCTTCATTTGTACAAGGATTATTCCAAGCAGAGCAGAATGATTATTCGTTCAGTTCATTGAGTTTTATGAAACCACGGAGCGCGTATACATAATAGTTGCTCCTTTTTTCCCCGCCAATGCTGCATCATTGAGGTCAAGCTGATCACAGCAAGTCACTGGTTTCGTGGTTGCACAGTGTAACTAAAATGATTTTCATTTTCAACTGAGATCAACTCAAGATCAATGCGAAAAATAGGAACGGAACACATTTTCATGCTGTTCGTTGCCTTTGGGGACATATAACTCTATGATGACAATTTCGAGGCCTTGTCCACACGACACACAGCCAGCGCGAAACGCGCATTAGCGCCTACCAACCTAACAGGGATACTTCACGCGTTGCGCAATGCGTGAAGTATCCCTGTTACGTTTGTAGGCGCCGCCAGTGCGTCGCCGCTCCGCTTTGTGTTAGGCTCAAATATTTAATCTGGCGGAGTCAGCGTTATTCAACTCATGATTTTGAAATGTTTGCACATCCTGTATGGATTATTCTCATTTTAATTGGTGAAATAAAATATGTACTAAAGGAAAATATAATGTGTGTTTTGTAAATATTAAGGTGGTTCCGTATCTAACTTAATGATTTCCAAAGCATACGAATTTCTACACAATTTCTTATAGCCTTTTATAATCGATGGCGAAAAAGCAACAGCCAGGCGATAAACTGTAAAGCCCGGCGATAGGAACTATAGCCCGGCTGCATAATTTTTTATCGCTTCGTATAGCCCGGCCGTATGATTTCCTCCGCATTCTACAGCCAGCTGTATGATTTTCTGTAGCCCTCTTTAGCCAGCTATAAGAATTCCTATGGTATTTTGAAACGCAGCTCTTATCGCCAATTTTTACCAGGGGACAGCATCCCTCGTTTTAAGGAACAAGTTTCAGGAAACTGAGCAGTTCGTCGAATAAGTTCCTCGAACCACGCTCGTGTGGACAAGGCCTTACGTTTTTCCTTTCTCTAAATAGACTTCATTTTGTAATGAGGAGGTACTATTATTTATTCATTCTATAGAAGCAACTTATTTGCCGTTAGAGTTTCCCTTGCCAAATAGATGCTTCTGAGGACGAGTCAGCCATTGTGGTATTCCTTAGTGTAAAATATGGTCGAAATAACCGATACTTCAATTCTCTATATTAATAACTCTAAAGAGGAATCAAAAGAAGAGTTTTGCCATGACTGCACCGCTCTCTGATCGCTTCATCAGTTTTAAACTTCTCATATGCCGCTTAAGGACCAAAATAAGACCTGACTTAACCTGAAACTGACCTGACCTGGATAGGACCTGATGGAGGTAAAGTAGACAATTCGACATGCTGATGAATGGTGGTCACCATCTACCGTCAAATTTTGACGAGCCGCACTTTTTTGTTCAAAGTAAGATCAGAACGGAGTGCCACCATTCATCCTTTCCTGCCACAGGAAACATTTCTGCCAAGTTTTCATTTTAAAATGAAGCAAATTAATGAGTTTACGACTGATGACTCCCGACACTTTAGATGTACATATACATTCAAAATGCACCTTTCATCTATCCCTTCAGGCGAATTCTACCGATCACAAGTTCCACTAAAACTTGGCAGATGGGCGAATTTTTTTTTTTAAGCTCACGGAAGGATTGCCGCACCCACACGTACCTACTTTCAGGACATTGATAAATCGGCGACGACTCACAATTAGATAGAAAGTTTTCCCGTGTCATCGAAGAAAAAGCCCCCAGTTTTGTCCAACTGACCCAAATACTGCACAGTTATACTTGCCCCCCGCCACCATGAGAAGTATTTTTATTACCCTCTTTGTTACACTGAGGACCGGATAGCACGCAATCAAATTTTAGGTCGATATCTTCCAACCCCGTTGTCAACTTTCATGGATTAATTATGAAAAGCAGGTGGGTCCAACGGTAAAGTTGATTTCGAAATTTTCGTCAAGTCGATGGTTCTTGAAATGCATCCATCGGAACAGTCGAGAGAAACTCGAACAAGCAGATACGCTCTCTGTTAAGCGCTCAGCCGATAGGCAGCGCTTTTTGATTTCAACTTGCCTCTGAGTAGCTAATGCGTTTAAATGGCGCACCAGCTCATCGATGTGTAGGCTTTTTGGGGGGGTCCATTTTTAAAATAAATAAAGCTGTGAAAACTGTATTTTAGGCTTTTAACGTAATGTGCAGGTAGTTTCGATCGTTTGTCTATAAGAAAATTTCTTAGCGCTAGAGTAATTCTTATCGAAATTGATCGTTGAACTCAAGTGAAGCCTAAAAAAAACGCGCCTGATGAGCTCAACGGTGAGCTCATTTTCGGGAAACAAAAATACGCGTTTACGGTTTCCTTGGTAACCTTTGTTTGCTATCAGCTGATGTTTTATTTCCATTTCCCAGCCAAGTCGACGGAGTTTATACGTCCTTTCTTCATTAAATACATTTATTAACACCTGAGCGCTTTTCTAATACGACAGTATTAGAACTTTCCCGCTTGTTTTTTCTTTCTTTTTTATGAAATTTTCTCATTCAAAGAGTGTCTCCATTAGCGACTTAATTCAATTCTGTAGAGTAACATTAACGCACGCACAGGGAAGGGAAGGAGGGGATGATGATAATGATATTACACATCTACTTTTGAGCAGAACAAAGGGTGGATTCGGTGGATAGCATAGTCGAAAAAAGAACTGTTAAAAGAAAAATCTGTCTTTGAAGTGCAGAATTCTGCAAGCGCCGTTGACTTTTTGCTTTCGGATCTATAAAGCGTATAATTGCACGAAAATTAAGCAATTTTGGGCCTTAACATGGCAAATTGAAATTTTGAAGCCCCCCTCAATCTCATTACAACGATTTCTGCACCGTTGATATCAGACAACCAAAACTTCTATTATTAGTAGGGCGGATAAGCATAACAATCGTGCATTTCTGGAAGAAAGCATGAAACTTTCAGGATATCATCTTTACCTATAGAAGGTTCAATTTCGCAAGTGAGCCCAAAATTCTGAGGCCATGGGGGCCGGGGGGGCAGGGGTTCCGAATTTCCCTATGTTTTGCCGAATTTTCGCGTTGAATCATTGTCAGAACGCCGTTAACAATGTCAAATGTAATCAAAACTTGAGTAAACGT